CCTTCTGCCCTTTACTTTGATGTACTGAATGATGTAGCATTTTTTTTTTGACTGTATCATCCTGTGCTTGTTGCAGATGTCTTTGTAGCTTACGATGAAGTCGTAAAACACGTATTGGAAGAAGTCCTCCACGAGAAGGTGCTTTTTTATAATTTCTTTATTTACTTCTAAGTGGTTGCAGAGAATTGAATATGGGTAATGCAGATAAATGTTGTTGTCGTCTTTGCTCTGCTTTTCTTCCTTCCATAATGGGTTCTTCCTCTTTTCCTTGGAGTTTCCCCCGCGCTGATTTCTCAGCAGGTCGTGGATGTACTCGTCGTACGTTTTCATCTTGTTCGGCGGGATGTTCAGGGTGCACGCTTTGGCGGCGGGGTCCTCGCCCTGCGGGTGCTGCCGCTGGTTCGGCGTCTCCCGATTTTCATCTTGCTTCGGCTCCATCTTCCGTTCATCATGCCGCTCCCCCTGACGCTCCTCCCCACTGCTCACCTTCCTGTATGTGTAGAAGCTCCAAATGGACTTCTCCACCGACCTGTTGCGCAACTCCTCCCGCTCACTCTGATAATTGAAGTAGTGTAAAATGAAAGGGGAGCTATAAATGGGGGAGAAGGGAGGAAAGGAAATCTTCTTTCTTATCTTTTCCAAAAACATATCCTGTGGGATTTTATAATTCATATAGTAGTAAGTTTTTTTAATTATATTGTCTACATTCATATTCTTCCATTCCATGTTTTGAAAAATGTAGTGCGTCTCTGTGTACATATTATTGTAGAGCATGTCATTCTTCTTCTTATTGGCTATGTGTATGAGTTCCTCCTTTTTGTGCAAAATGATGGAGCTGGTGAAATAGATTATGAAGATGCCATCGTTGGAGAGGAGTGTGTCGAAAATGCGAACGAGTTTCTCAAACTCAGTGAAAACGTGAGAGTAGTACGTTACGACCCAACTTAGGCAGAAGAAGAATTCGGTGCCACTTATCTTGAGGGATTTCCTCTTACTATCCAATTCGTTGGTATCAGTTCTGGAGTCACTCTGGGTGTTTTCCCCTCTGTTGGCGCCGCTCTCCTCCTCATTGTGACTTTGGAGACCCAGACTGGCCCTCTCACTTCGCATCCCATATTTCATGTTTTCATACTGCTGCTCCTTTTGGAGAAGGCAGAACACGTTGTAGACATCCTTGTCCATATACTTGAGCAACAAGCCGATGCTCTTAAAGGTGTTGTTAATAGACACGTCTAGCGACAACGTCAAATAATCAATCATATAAAAAAGGAGGAATCGCTCGCATAGGAGGTATACAATGTACTCTTTTTTTTTTTTCTTTTTTTTATACTTTATGTACCTCTCGAGGTTAATATTATTCAGCAGGCATATTTTTTCGATGTACTTTTCCTCCATGAGAAACATGTTGAAGATGTTGTTTTGGAAAATGTCTCCTGCGATGATTGGTCCCTTCCGCTTCGGGGGTGGCGACCTAGCAGTCGCTTCACCATCTTCATTATTATGTCCAAAGGGGGAGGAGATGTTCACTTCCTTCTGTATTGCACCTCCCTCCTTGGCAAACAACCCCTGTGTGGTAGACCCATCCGGGGGATCGCCCCCATTACACTCACTTCTTCTCAATTTTGAAAAAATCAAATCACAAATTTTGTTTACAACAAATTTCGATATGAAGTGCTCCAAGAAGACGTACTTTTTGTACCTCCTCAGAAAGTTATGGAAATATAACGTGACGAAAACGAGACAAACGTCGTGTACCCCCTGCGCGTAATAAATCTTGTTCGAGTGTTTATACAAAATGCTGCAGATGACATTTTTCAAAATATACTGATACTTTTTTTTAATTTCGTATATGCTGTACTTGTGTATATTCCACGTGTTGACACTCCTCTTGACGTCCTTCTTCACTTGCACTCTCTCATTTTCGTCCAACAGCACGCTGTCAATAATCCATTTGTTCAGATTTGAATTGAAGTTGTAGTTATTTTCAATGTTATATTTTAAGTAAGACAAAATATTGGTCTCTTCTTTTGTTTGATTTTTTCGAAGGATGTAATCCACTATGTAGAGATCCACTTCTAGCATGTTTTTATAAATGACCTTGAACAATTTTATAATAAATTTTATGTTTTTTTTTTTATCATAATTATTTTTCTCCTTATCAATGTTCAGCAGAAAATGAATGATTTTTTTCGTCTTCTTTTGGATACATTTTTTAGCCTTTTTCTCTATTTCACGCTTGACAATTCTGTTTTTTTTTTTTTTTGGGTACTTTTCTTCCGAGAAAAAGGGGAACGAATCATTCGGTTGTTCCTTCCCTGGGAAGACATAACTTTGAGGGGCACTTGCGCTCTTACTCGAGCATCTCCTTCTGAGCGCTTTACTCCCCTTGTTGTGCCCCTCCCGTGCGCCGTCAATCGAGTGGGAGCTACTGAAAAAATGCAGAGGGGGGATGGGCCTCTTGTGCCTACTTCTGGATTTGCTCCTCACCATTTGCATGCCGTCTGAAACGTTGGATGCAAACGATGACACGGACGACGCGGTGAAGGACGTGGTGGACGAAATAAAACTGTCCGATAGGTAGAGCGAATTTTCGGACGCGCAGTGGTCTACTGCTTCCAAGGCAGGGACACCTAACAGTTCCGTCCTGCAGGACGGCGTTGAGGATATCCTGGACGAGAAGCTTGGGGGGGGCGGCGACACCGACCGACTTTCGCTGTGACACTTCTCATCCTTTTGCTTCCGGTAGAATCTCCTCTTCGCGCGCGTGCTTCTGCGGTTACGCCAGTGGCCATCATGTGCAGCTGCTTTGTTTCCACATTGGACTCCGTCCTTGGGGCTTGACTTCATTCTTTTCATTGATAGGCACCCCTCCGGGGGGGCACCTGTGGCAGAGGGAGGCCGTCCCCCCTGATCAACCGAAGGGGGACGACGGCCTCCTTCATCATTTACCCCGTAGGTGAAAACAAATTCCTTCTTCCGGGGGCACGAAAAATTATCATAATAGTAAATATTATTTTGACTCTCCACCCTTGGAGTGGTCCCTCCTTTGTACCGCAAATCATCTTTGGCACATTCACGAGGGCGCCAAGGAGCCGCCCCATCCTCCTCTTGGATCCATTTTAATTTAAAGTGTTTAGCCGAATTGACAAATTTAAATTTCCTCTTATGTTTCATACATAGGATGGATATCGGGTGATCATTATAATTTTTTTCCTTCGACAAATTGATGTTAAATCCGAGCAGTAGCAGCCACAACTTCTGTCTGAGTTTATCATTTTGAAATCCTCCTTGCGTGAAGGAGAAGAACTTTATCAATTCGTACAGCTTCTTCTTCTCGTTTGTCGTCACGTTTTCATATATCTTCAGGATTTTCTTTAAATTGGACAATTTCTCATCATTCTTTTCTTCATACTTGTCAAAGTGATTTTTATAAATAGTTATTTTATCAAACAGGTACAGCCTGTCATTGTCCTTGCTGCTAGGGATGTAGTGCTTCTGTACGTAGAGACATCCATTTTTCTTCTTAATTTGTAGTTTTTTTTTTTCAAACAATTCACTATCGCTGTAATGTTTTTTTCTATATGTCGAGTATTTCGATTTTCTTTTTTTTTTTTTGTTATATAAATTTTCGAAATTTACGCAGCTGTAGTAGCCTCTTTCCTCCTTTGCCTTTTTTAAAGGAGCTTTCATATTCCTGCTGCAGTTGTTTCTTCTGTTGTTCGTCCGTTCATAATTGCTCGCGTGGGGGAGGGGTAGAAGTGGGCGACGGGGTCAGCAAAAATGTGACCACTGTTCGGGCAGATGAGGGAAAAAAAAAAAAAAAAAAAAAAAAAAAAAAAAAAAAATGAACGGCGGGGAGGTGGGGGAACCTAGATGTGCGAATTCCTGACAAGGGGCACAGCCCATGTACTTCACAGGTGCAACGTAACTCTCGTCACCCACATTTCGCACGAATGGCGAGTGAATATAAGCAGCAGAAGCGTTGTGTCTCTTTAAAAAAAATCAAAAGGAGACGAACACCATGTATGTTCATGCTGCGTGCGCATGCCATAATGTTTGCTCGTGAACGTACGGGCGCATTTGGCTTATGCCAATATGGATACACATCGGTAGCCAAATGGTCACACAGAGATATAGGCACAGGTACGTAATAGGTACATCTATAGGTGCACAAATGTGTGGTATGTGTCCTTCACCGGAACGTTTGGTTTTCCTCCAAATAGTTGGTACTCACATCCGCAGACAGCTTCCAACTCAGCGCGTCTGATTTGTACAACAGGGCGAAACCCCCTTAAGGTGTGCTACGGTCAGGAAAAAAGTTCTCCTGTCGAAGTGATCACCGTGTGTAGATAAACACGTTCATAACTGACACGGTACAAATAAAACACATGCACACTGCTTCGCATTATGCTGTATCGGTAACTTCTTTCGCTGAGGTTATGTATTCATAGGACGTATGTGCTCTCCCCTGCCGAAAGGTCCCAAGGATTGCTTTGTGGAGACAACTGTAATAGCGTGATGTAGTTTTTCTTACTCTGAGGCGGTTACTATGTAGATGCGTTAAGATAACTGTGCTTATTTTTTGAGCGGGTCTCGCTGCTATTCGACACGTAAAGGTATTGTCCCAAATGGATATAATACGTTGTAGATTCGCAAATCACGCGCGGATCATAAGTGCTTCGCTAAAGAGCACTTGGGCGAGTGCCTTGGGGCAGTTATTTCCTCGAGTATCCACGCCAAAATACATGCACAGCGGTAGGAATGCCCACAGAGGGTATAAAACCACGGGAAGGCATATCTCTTCCAATGGTTAAGGGGCTCGACGAGCAGAAAACTTAGGATAAATAAAAATCGTATGTACTACGTCTGATGTGCCATTTAAATAGAAAAAATTTCCTCATTTTTGCGAGCGCAATTTTGCCGAGGTGAACTTTTTCCTTTCTCAGAAAAATAAAAAAAACGAAATAAAATAAAAAAACGTTGCGAAACGGTGAGAAGGCAAGCGTATATTCTATTTTGTTGGGAAATGGGAAGGTTCAGCGACGGTCACCCATAAATACAAATGCACGCACGGATGCGACGCGACGAAACGCGAAATGGATAATACGTTCATATATGTATTTTTATACGTACCGATCAACACGAATGTATAAAACGTATTCAAGGAACTGTGGACTCCCCTTCCCCCCCGTCCCCCAAAAAAAAAAAAAAAGTTTTGCAATTGCGAAGGCACTCACGTTTTCTCACCCAGGAGGCACGCAAAATATTTTTTTTTAATTTTCCAAGCGTTTTTCCCTTTCCGTTACATATACGTATATCTTTTTGTTATACCTTAAGCGAAGGCGGTAGCACCAGAAAAAAAAAAACAGAATAAAGCCGAGCAGCGCGACGCAAAAGAAAGAGACCCTTTTAAAATATTTCAGTACGAGGATATTTCTCTCGTCCGATTTATTTCTCGTCTTGGCCTTCCTCTGTTCACATTTTGTTTCCCTTTCCACGCTGCCTCTCCGTTCCGAGTATTTCCCGCAGAATGCCGCTAAACGTACAGGTTAATTTTCGCCCTGAGTTGCCTTACAAAGGGTCACTGAACTGACAAAGCGGGGAAGGGCAACTGTTCGCACGGACGTTACACACGTGTGCATACCTTCTCATAACCCCTTTGTGTACCTTTTTTGTTTCCCGGCGCAGGGAGGAAAGAAAAAGCCGCTCAAGGCCGCCAAGAAGGGGCCCGTCGAAATGACGGAAGAAGAAAAAGCTTTTAAAAAGGAGATGGCCGAGAAGAAAAAGTACGCCAGCAGCTCTGCACCCCATGTCATTCGCGGCACGAGTGAACACATAAGTGGACTACGCTTGAGTGGCAATTTATTTTTCTTCAATAATGTCTTCGCATAGATACATGTGACATCGGAAATGACCTTTTAGTGTGGATACACTATGAACGTGCTCATGTGCCTTACATGTATATGTACCTTTCCAGTTGCTTCTGTGTTATATTCATGTGTGCTACTCCTGTTTCCTTTGCCCATGCCGCTGACCCATTCCACTTCTCCCGCAGGGCCGAAGAAGAAGCTAAACAGAAATTGTTGAAGGCCAAAAAGAAGTAAACGCCTGCCCCAATCACTACATAGAACAAGCAGAATGCTGAAGGGAATCCGCACGAGTAGTGAAACCCCCTGGGGTCATTCAACGGAACCCTTTGTTCGGGGAGACAACACAGACCAGAAGGTGGTCATACGCGAAGTCCTACTTAAAGCACACCGATTTGACGCCTTTTTTTTTTTTTTAATTTTTTAAGTTTAACCGTATCGCAAAACATGCGCAAATATGTGCACAACGCATGCAAAAGAAAAGAAAAAAAAAGACAACACAAAAAAAAAGAAAATTTCACCACTCCCTTTTGTTGAACTTCTTCAGCCCGCAAAGCTTTTATCCTCAAAAAGGGGAGAGGGAGAGGGCGTTGTTTGTCTTTCCACTGATTGCAACAAAACTTGTGGCAGTTCTCACCGAAGGAAAAAGAAAACGACGTCCATGTATATATTTGTGTATATATTTATAGTATATATGATTATTCTGTAAAAAAACTATTTAAAGGATTGGACCAAAGCTGAGGTGCGCATACTCGGTAACGAGGGGTAGGTAGCCCGTCTCCGCCGAGCAACAGCGACCTTTTACGTCTGTGCAAGCTCCACGTTTGGAGATCCATCTCGAGATAAACGAATGAAGTGCAACAGGTGTATAGGGCAACACGTTTATATATACGCATAACTCCTCTGCGCATTAATCAGGTCAGTGTAAACCCTGATGTAACACCCTTTCAGAAAAAAAAAATGACACCTCCATGTGTCCTACTTTTAACTTGGCACTGTTCTTACATGATATGTAGCAAACGAGCGGGGGAGGATTATGCTTACCTACCCAGCCGGTTTCGCTTAGCTACTCATAAAAAAGGTGCTGTCGTAAAACTTAATTTAAAAATATATGATGGGATGATGAATTATACTTTTTTTTTCCCACAGTTTGGGGGATACCTTAACTTTTTTAATCGCTCCCCGGGCAGGAAAACAGCAGCGACAGTAATGGTGACGGGTTTCCTTTGCTGGCCTCGGAAGTGTTATATTTCTAACACAGCTTTGCCAAGCACCTCGTTCGCATAAACGTGAAAAAGTCTTCTTATGGATAAAAAAAAAATTAAAAAACGTTCGGAATAAGTCTACCCAAATCATGGCATAAAATGAAGGTTCATGAAAAGAGGATTTTTCTTTTTTTTTTTTCTAACTTTTGGGGGCTAGGGCAACCCCACCAACCTCCCAGGGTGCATACATTTTTATATGATACCCCTTTATCACCGCGAAATGAGTAGATGTTGCGAGAAAAAAAGAGGCATATATACTATATTTTATGTACCACGGGGTGCGGCGGAGCAGTGGGTATATTAGTTTTATCACCACCTGCATGGTGATGTTTAAGCGGAAAAGAAGAAAAAAAATGAACACAGTGCTGTTACCACATTGAGAAAGTATCTATATACCTTTCACTGCTAAAAAGGAAGGAATGATGAAGGGGCAGTGGTGACCTGGAGATAAGCCAAACTCTGTTGAAGGCACAAGGTAAAAAAAAAAAAAAAGAAGCACATCAATTGGGCGGCGCAAAGCTTTGGTGTGATGAGAACTGGATTATTCGGGGAAAAGGCCAAAATAAAAAAAGAGTCACACTGCGAAATCGCGCGTGGGGGTCATAAAAAAAAAGGCATACATATATGCATAGGTATAAGAAGCTTCACAGCACACGGATTTATGGCATGCGCGAAGGGTTCCTTATATATTGTACGCATGTATGTATTCACCTGTGGCGTGGTAAATTATGTAAAAGAGAATTCAACATGTTGTAGTACAGTCACGTATGTACTTCTGCGCCTACAGAATAAGCAACACTGTGACGAAGATTTGCAAACGTATCGTAGTCAATTTTTTACTTTAGCTTCTCGCGCAAACTTATAACTATAACATAGCTTGAACAAGTTTTTCCATCGAGCGTATTTCAACCTTCCAGCTTTGCAACTTTGCAAATTTTCAACTTTCCAAACATCCCCATTTCCCAACTTCCCAAAACTTCCCATTTCCAACATTACCAAGCCACTGGCGAAAACAAAATGGCGGTAGGAAAAAACAAAAGAACCTCAAAGGGAAAAAAAGGAGGAAAGAAAAAGGTCACGGATGTTTTTACGAAGAAGGAGTGGTATGACCTGAAGGCCCCCAAAATGTTTTTGGTCAGAAATTTCGGAAAAACCTTAGTCACGAAAACCATTGGAAAAAGTAAGTCCCCGGAGAAGTTGTGGCGAGGGCGCCATGTATACGTGGAGCTAGCCAAATTGTATAATTAATTTTTTTTTTTTTCCTTTGTTCATACGGAATTGTGGCGGCATATGGTTTATGCCAGCGGTGCGTGATGTCTCACAATGTATCGACAGATGAGCTCTCCTGATGTTATGTCGATTGGATATGCTGGAGATAGCCTGTTTGATGTGTCCGTTGCTCTTTGTGAAGGCGTTTTTTTCTTTTTCTTTTTTTGGCCCACCATGGTGCAGCCCCGACATTTCTATGTGTGCAACTTTTTGCTGACCTGTTCCTGCGAAAGGGGACACCTGCCAGTGGGAGACATCCCCTCGGTTGTGGTGTCTGCTCAGTGTTGTGTTTGACTTCTTGAGCGCCTTCACTTTGCCGCTCGTCACTTTACCGCACTTCACTTTGCTTCCCATTTTTTCTGGCGATTCACCCCCGCGCAGAGTTGGCCACGGACGGCTTGAAGGGACGAATTTACGAAGTGAACCTGGCCGACCTGAACAATGACGAGGACCAAGCTCACAAGAAAATAAAACTGTGTTGTGACCACATCATCAACAGAGATTGCTACACGGATTTCTGCGGTCTCAGCATAACGAGGGACAAGTTATGCTCCTTGATAAGAAAGGGATACACCCTAATTGAAGGATACACAGACGTAAAGACGATTGACAACTACCAGCTGAGAATGTTTTGCATTGCTTTCACGAAGAAGAGACCAAACCAGACAAAAACTACCTGCTACGCACAGACGAGTCAAATTAAAAAAATAAGAAAAAAAATGGTAGACATCATGAATGCTGAAGCGAGTAAAGTTTTACTAAAAGATCTTGTGAAAAAGTTTATTCCCGAATCGATTGGAAAGGAAGTAGAAAAACAGTGCAAGAAAATATACCCCCTACAGAACGTTTTAATAAGAAAAGTGAAGATCTTAAAGAGACCCAAATTGGATATTTCCAAATTAATGGAGTTGCACACAGACTCTAAAGAAGACGCTGGAAAGAATGTCAAGTCTTTACCTGAGTCGAAGGAGGCCACAAACATCTTAAGTGCCGAATTGAAACATTAGAGGGTTGTTCCTCCGCCGTCTGTAGTCTGAGGGGGACGTGTATCGGAGAAGATATATGTGCTAATCGGTTGGGTTGTTTTCATCCCCACGCGATTTTTTCCTGCATCGAAAGCACACACAAATTGTTGCATGCATATGCACTCCCATTCGGATACTCACCCCGTTTTAACGGTAGTCCCCTCCAGCGCACAATGTATGTTGTCCTACCACATGTGTGTATATATTTTCTTGTATAGAATACATGTGGGTGTATCCACGCGTGAACGTGTGATTTTTTTTTTCCCCTTTTTTTATGAATTTATTAACGGAACGGGACTTAATTTTAAAAAAAAAATAATCGCGGTTTTTACGAAAAAGTGTGCACGAGCGATGAGGGTCCACCCACTGATGCGATGCTGCTAAGTTGCTACGTTTCGAAGCTTCGAAGATGCAAACGCGTGTACGTGAGCATCCGCGGGGGGTGAGTACTAGCCAGACGGTTACCCCCACTTGTGGGCATTGCCACCTACCAAGTTATTGCTTAAAACAATGGGGCAGAAGCCAATTCGAAGGGGCGTCTCGTGGCCGCCACACGCGCGAATAAGTGAAAGAAAATACACACAGCTTTGCAGTAAACAGGAGTGTATACGCTATAATTTTTTTGCATATTCGTTGGAGCGGGGATGGGTAGCGGCCGGGAGAAGTAGCGCCGGAAGCAAAAATGGTATATAAGATAAGTACATGTGCACGCTTTCTGGTCACCTTATCGTTTGCCAATACTTTGCAGTCTTATTAGCAGTGGTTTTAGGTCTGTTGTAGAAGGGGTGGTGTGTGGTGGTCATAAGTGGGTGAATAGGCACACGCGAAAGGGAGCGCAGGAGGACAAATAATTGGCTAAGTGAAGTGGAGAATATACCATGTGCTTTGCTTACCTGCCTCATGCTGATATTGGACGTGGGTTTTTTTAAAAATTTCTTCTGTTTTCAAAAGGACGTCCTTAAAAAGAGAACGGGGGGAAAGTTGTGCAGTAACCGTTAGGAAGTTTTCTTCATTTGGTGTTGCGCATAACCTATGCGCGGCAACTAAATGGGTAAAGAAGCTCTTACGTTCAGCATGCTCGAATGCTTGACCACTTCTAGCGCAACCTTTTCCATCCGTCCTTGGAATTCTTTTTTTTTTTCCTCAAGGATTAAATTTTTGTTCACGAGAATGTTGTCTTTCTCTTGTCTAAGCTCTACTGTTCGGTTAATTTTTTTTTTTTGCATGGAGTTAAGGAGTAAAACATATGCACACAAAAAAAAAAATGGATAAATGGGGAAGAGGAAAAAAAAAAAAAAAAAAGAATAAATGGAGAAGAGGCAAAAAAAAAACTCCACTCATTCGTGCATATTAATTACATATTTCACTGTACGATCTTTCGGAGAGAACTTTCAAATCGGCTAACACGTCGAGGATCTCCCGTTCGATGCTTCTGTACTGATTTAAGATTTGTTGGTACTCGGTTAGGAACTGCTCATAGTTAGCTTTATTCTCTACCTCCAGCTTCTTAATGTTTTCAATTTTGTTTTCTCTTTGCTCCTTTAGCGTGTTGATAAGTTTGGTTTTTTCGGCTGCGCAGGTATGAGGAGGTAGGAAAGGGGATGAATGGGTGTGTGCTCATTTGTCTATATAAGTGCATGCACGCGGAGGGTAGCCTTTTTGGGTGGCTTAGTTACGAAGTTTGGCAGATCGGACGGGCAGATCGGATGGGCAAGTGTTCCAAGGTCAGGAAGACGACATGCTCACTGCAGAGCGTCATGGGTACCACCTACAGGAGACGCACCTCCCCCTCACCTAAGTCATTTTTTAGAGATTCGATTTTTTCCCTAAGTTCCTTTACCTTCAACAAATGTGCATCCTCTTTCTGTTTATTTTTATCCTTCCCCGATTTCATTGTTTCGCAAGTTTCGCTTTATGCAAACGGGAGGCGTATGTTCGTGCAGCGCGCGCAAGGCCCCAGGAGGAGTGTGTTTTGATGTGTGTGCGCGCATAGGTGGGGGGAGGGGGACCTACGAAAGTCACATAAGGGTCTTTCACTGGTATGCGCGGCCGCACAGGGACATCCATAACTATGATCCGAAAGAAATATCAATATTGCTAAATTGCAAAGCTGCCAAATAGACCGGGAGGACAAAGACACTCGCGCGGAAATACACTTCTGCGCCAGTCACGCACCATTCATTCCAGTTCATCGCCCCTCGATTTGGAAAGCAGGAGACAAAGAATGGCATAATTGCGAGAAAAAAAAAAAAAAAAAAATATAGGAGAAAAAAAATACCAACATAATAATGCCCCTGCGGATGCACATCCACTTTGTACCTTGCGCCAAACGAAACTGCGATGCGATTTTTCTACTATTTGCGTTGGAACTTTTGGCGAAGAAGAATCATTTTGAGTCTTTTACCCATAATTACCCTATTTTTAAGCAAAGAGTGGACGTGGGTGGAGAAGGGGAGGAATCTCCCCCCCAGTATGTTCACCCATATATCGTGCGTCTTGCCGGCAAAGGTATTGGTGACATCCTGCTGGGGAGGACAAACTGCCATTTTAAGAAAAAAAAAAAAAAATTCACTAACGCCCTGTGTACACAAATTGGCGCAGGGATGTACCCGTACAAACGACGTCCTCCACTTTGCTTAACTTTGCTGTCTTAAAGGAAAATGAACTAAAATGATGGGAACGCCCTATCTGCATACATTTTTGTGTATTTCTGGTCATCCCCCTTGGTGTAGGTGTTACGCACAAGTAACGCTTTTCTCTCCCGTGCGACATGGTAGCTCCCTTTCCCTTGTGTACACAAATGTGTTGTGGCAGGCGTAGATAAAAAGGAAAAAAAGAAAAACAGGAAAAAAAAAACATCCCAGTGTGACTCACACAACTGGTAATTACTACCCATGTAAACTCATTTTTCGTTAAAGTAGGAAAAGTTATCTTCAAAAGGAACTAATCGTGATTATAAGAAAAAAAAAGAAATGAAATATATTCCTGAATGTTAATGCTACGATTGATCGATGAGGTGTATACGCATTTTTTAAAAGCCCCCCTTCCGTACTATTTTCTTCCCAAACAATACCGTTCGGCATTTTTTCTTTTTCTTTTTTTTTTTGGTTTTTTTCCCTTTTTTATTTTGAGTAAATTGCCCAAAGAATGGCTCCAAATTGGTCCTCCGCTTAACCACTTTTATCCTTTCAAAGAATTAAAATTTCCTATGGCCTTTTCAGAAGAGCCATTGTTATTTTTTGTTGGCCTTCCAAAGAACTTGTGTCCCCTTGTTCATGCATATGTTTTGTACTTTCCACTATTCACGCATGAGAAGGGACACAAAGACCAGTTAAAAGGGGAAGAGTAGCTGGGGTTACACGAACCCTGGGCTTAGTTCGGTTCCTGTCATGGGCGGGCTGTCAGCGTTTGCTACTCGCCACGTGTTGTTCGCTGCTTGAGGTAGGTCCCTTACCACGTCATCTCGTAACCGTTTCGTCGCGTCGTCGAATAATCACGTTGTTTGTTAGCCGCTTTGCTTATTAGCCGTCTCGTACGTATATGCCTGTGCGGTTTCCCTCCTGTCAGGAGCGTGCCAGTGAGCTGTACACGTAGGGGAATGTGAGTGAGCAGCATAGCGGACAGCACCAAGGGGAACCCCACGAAAGGGTGCATCGCATGGCCAAAGGGAGGCGTCGCCAAAGGGAAACGTCGTCAAGCGAGGCGCTCCAAAATGAACAACAAAAGGAGAAAATACAACCCGAGTGGTAAGCCCGATGGGGAAGACCCTCGGCAGGACAGGCCCCCAATGGAGGGTCATCCGACCATCGGTTACGACAATAAAAAAATGAGGAGAGGTCTGTACGGCGCGTCGGAAAGGACCGCCAAGAGTGGCGGAAACATGGGGGGAAACAGTGGCGCCAGCATGGGGGGCTTATACAGCGGAGAGACCTCCGGTCTTAACCACTTAACGGACGAGACATACCCGCCAAAGTACACCCTCTACTCGAGTCAGGGAAATATCAAAGCACACCCCAATCGAAATGCCCCCATGGCAAATAACTCACTTAACAAATGGCCCAATGCGAACCCAGGTAGTGACTTCTCTCCTCATAACATGTATGCCAACAATGAAAAAAAAAAGGATAACTATAATAGGAGTAAAAATTTTATGAATATGAATCATCCAAACTTTAATTCGTATAGCCATTCCAACATTTGGACGAACGTCAGGAGGATGGGAGGTGGACAAAATGTGTCTCGAGAAAATGGGAAGAAACAAAAGATGAAAAGTGAGAACGAGGTGGGGGGTGCCTGTCCGTATGACAGTGGCGACCCGATTGGCGAGCCGATTGGCGAGCCGATCGGCAACCCGAATGACGTCCCAAATGTAAACAGCACCAGCAGTAGGGCCGTTCCGATGATCGGGACGACCCACGGCAACCACGGCAACAGCCTGAGTTACAAAAAAATGAACACCTTGTCATGCTCCAAAAGTGCCAACTTTGAAAAGGCATCGACAAAAAAGTATAGCAATAAATTTTACCCCAACATGACTCTGTCGAATTTGAGTGACAAAGCGGACAAGGAGGAGGTGGATAACGTAAACGTTAAGGAGAAAAAGAACAAATTTGAGTTAGGAAAAAATCGAATTTTCTTTCAGAACAAGAAGTGGTTTGGCCGTGGCAACACGAATGGTAAAGGTATAGGTGGGGGGTTGGGTATCCACAAGGGGGAGTCGTCCTCCAGTGGTATGATGGACGCTGATGTGAGGGGAGGTTCCCCAGAGCAGTGGGGCCCCAATATGGGCGGTCCCAACCTGAGCGATCCCAATGTCAGCGGCACTAACGTGAGCAGTACCAACCTTAGCAGAAATAACGTTAGTGGCGCCACCCCGGGAGCTGTCCCCCCCCAGGAGAGAGCACACATTTTAGAAATGCTCTCCAAATGTCTGAAGTCGGTAGGAAACGAAGGAACGGCGGACCTCAGCGCAATATACAACGCGCTGACGAAAAATAAAAGCAAAGAGTCCTTGATGAGCCTGCTGGATAACATAAAGCTTTTGGAGGAGGCATCCAAAGGGATGCTGCCACCGGGTGGGGGAGTCACTGGAGAAAGTTCGATTGGCGGGGCCACTGGAGAAAGTTCAGTGGCCAGTCCGAACGACAACGTGGAGAGTGGGGCGATGGACGAAAGAAAGAACAAAGTCAAATTTGTAAGTAGCTCATTTAATGGATCATCCAGCATGTTAACCAATACGGTGAGCGGTCAAATGGGTGCCAGTGGGGAAGGGGGACCTTCAGGGTTTAGCCGTCGTGGAGGCATTCGCGATGTTGGTGCTGCCACTCAAGTTAACCATCCACGCTACGACAATATTAGACGTCACAAAAGGGACACATCAAATGCCAGATGCGAGAGTCCGCCGCAGATGGGTCTCCAGAATGGCCTTGACCCTCCGGGGGAGTCCAGTCGGAGTCAGGGGAATGAGGCAGCCCTGGAGTTGGACGGAATTTGCGGAAGGAGGGACCAAGCGGAAAGGCTCACAGGAGGGGGAAGCGACATAGAGGCAGCAAATGCAGCCAGGACAGCCAACCCAACAGATGCTTCCAAGTCTGCCGACCTCGATAGCCGCTTGCCCAGGGTGGCCCTGTTCAGGCAGCTCGGAAAGGACCACAGCACATGGGAGAAGTGGAAGGACGCAGTGGCCAAATGCAACGATCAGAAAATACAGGCCAATTTTGAAAAAATGGAAGAGAGCATAAAGAGTAACCTCAAAATTAAGGAAATTTTTAAAGCGAGCCTTTTCTATAGTGACAGCAGACACATGTACAAAAAGGCGCTGTATAAAAATTACGAACAGATATGGCTACACAGTGGAAGATTCCTTCAGTTGGAGAACATTTTTCACTTTGGAAAGGGGAAGGAAAAGAAGAAGGAGAAAGAGACAAACATAATCGAATGTGCGATGAGCGGTTCCATTCCGTTTAGCGGTTTTTTACAGTTTTTTAACAATTTTTACGAAATTACAGAGAGTTATCAATACAGAATTTGCTTCTTCCTGATTTATAAAATAATGATTATGCATGAGGAGGATGAAGAGTATGGACGGTACTACAATTTAATCATTAATATGCTGAGTGGGAAGACGTTGATTTTTTTTCTTCTCGTGTTGATTAACCTGATGCGGAAGTACTCCTTGAAGATGGTTTACTTTGTGAATTTCATCGAGAGGTTGCTTCCGGTGGTAACGAAGGGATCGCGTCTCTCTGCATGGGCAAAGGGCACGGCAGCATCTTCCCGAGGTGCCGTCTCCAATGGGACAGACAAAGGGATCCTTTTCAACATCCTTTTTTTTAAGCTATTTAGATTAATATTTTATCGAATCGAATTATTCTCCACGCAGAAGAAGCACCTGCTGATGCTGTTCCTAAGGTACATAAAGAACTTCCTCCTTAACATCTGCTCCTCCATTTTGATCACACAGTACCTCTTTATAAAATGCGTAGACCTTATGAATAAGTATAACAACCAGCAGTACATTTTGATTAAGACCACCTCCATGGAAATATTTTTGCAACTATGGAACAACGATTTTTTGAAGTTGTACATTTTGAAGATCGGAAGTCCTCTCCTTCGCTTCCTCATCTTTATGAGCAATGTAGAGTATGTGAATAAGAATATTTTCCCCCTCATTTTGACCCCCATTGAGAATGCTAATCAGATGGAAATCAGGGATGCCCTCCAGGGGATGCTACACACGAGTAGCTATTACACACAGGGAAGGAAGAGGTGGAAGCATTACTATAGGAAGTTCCAACGGACAAATAAGTGTTCCCTTTGGGTGAGGAGTTACGGCGTTGATGAGGTTCAGGAGGTTGTTCTGGTGGAAGCGGAAGAGTCGGAGGAGGAGCAGCAGCAGAAGCGGAAGCAAGAGGAGAAAAACTCCGTGATAGAGGTACCCTCTGGGGGCACCCTCCGCCCTGATCAATGTGCAGACGTACGGACGGATCTCCGAAACGATACGCTGATGGAACACATCCTGCAAATAGGAAGAAGTTACAACTACTACAAAATTTTACTCCCTCCGGATGAGAAAAGCTGCCTCAATTTCATGCTTCATCTGAGGAACGGAAACAATAACTTCCACTTTGATCTCTTCTACAATTTATTCGTCGAGTCCAATTTGGCCAATTTGATTCACGAGAATAAGGTGATATATTATGTGGAGTATATCAAGAGGGGGGGGAGGAACGTGAAGGGGGATGAACAGGAGAAGGACCAAGAGGAGGAACACCTCATGAAAGGAAGTACAATCATACGTGGGCTGTACAGTTTAGTACGCGAAGGGGCGGATGGGGGGTTCCACTCTGTTGCCCGGGACGCAAAGGAGAGTAGCTCCATTAATGAGGAACAAGCGGAACAAGCGGAACAAGCGGAACAAGCGGACCAGCCCGCCCCCCCCAAAGAACAACTCCTATTCGACCTGCACGGGATAATCCAACGAAGAAACTGCGTGTTGTCCAAAATATACGGCGCGCACATCAGGCTGAGTTTTTTTTTCGGCGTCTTCTTCTACAGAAGTCACGACATTTATAGGATCCTTTCCAGCTCCCTCGGAACCTATGCCAGAAAGTTTAAAAATTTTAAAAAGGAGAATCAGAAGGGGATTAAATTTATGAACGTTAATAACATTACGCACATTTTGACGGTCACGTTCCTGCTAAAGTTTTTGGCCCACGTGGGGAGGGGTAGCACAGGAGGTGGTAGTGGAGAGGGCACCAGCCCAGGGAGGCCATCACCTCGGGGAGGTACACCCCCTTTTGCTGCCATACTCGGGAGAGCCCCTCCCCGTTTGACAGCGGAGGAGGAAGACTTCCTCGCGTGCTACCGTCTCCTGGAGCACGCCCTGGGTAAAGACATCAGCACCGCCAACACGTTCCTAAACTACCTGAACAATGTGATACTTTATCTGCACGAAAGGAAAAGAGAGAACTTGGTGCTGAGCGCGATCATCACACTTACCATTTATAATTTCTTAACTTTGATTCAGAAGAAGCAAAATCGAATTGAAAATCTGGAGACCCTCACTTTAAGTGAAATTTGTAACGAAATACATAACAGCTGCCTCATAGGGATGCTACTCAGAGAAAATAACTTCTTCATTGACAGCGAGACGAAGTTTACGGAAGTGGAGGATATTTACTCGTTCGAGCTGAAGAACCATATGAAGTTCATCCCAAAGGACATTAACAGGGAGATCTTCCAGTTGGTCTATTTTAAAAAATACGTTTTCCAGAGGGGGACATACAAAAAAATTGACATTATAAAGATAGGCAGGCGGAACGCGGTGAACAATCTGTACACATCAGAGATTCTTAACTACGTCTACTACAACACGTTGTATGTTCTGATCCATTTAGTCTTGAACGTACATTTTTATGAGGCCATCTTTAGGAGGACCTACAAGGGGAGAGGCGGTGATGGTAGTACTATTGACAGGGTTCTCCAGGTTCATGGTGAGGGGACGTGGAGCTTTGTGCGTACTGGGGGAGCGTTCAAGCGGGGAAGGGAGGCAGAACAAGCGCGAAGGCACGAAGCGGGGGCGGACGAGGCGGGGACAACCCAGCCAAACTGGCAACGCCCCCTCACCATAGTGATGAGGAAACAAAATGGGGACACATACTGGAGGAAAAAAAGGCACATTGTAAAATTTTACAGAAAGGCCAAAAGAAAAATCATCAAAAAATTGAAGACCTCCTTAGCTGCCAGCAATGTAAATAAATTTATGCGCAGTTTGGGGGAGGACAAATTCTTCTTCAACCTTTTTTTCCAGTTTGATAATTCCCCCCTGTTTCTTCACTGGATTTTGCTGGAGGGGGGTGCGCCTACCGATGCGGTAACAGATGCGGGAGAAGATGGGGAAGCAAATGTGGACGCAGATGTGGACGCAGATGTGGACGCAGATGTGGGCGCAGATGTGGACGAAAATGCGGACGCAACTGCAGATGCAAATTCAAGTGCAATTCCAATTGCCCGTGCGAAGGCCTTGGGTGTGTCGGGGCCCATGTTTTGCCCCCACGTGGACATCCTGAAAGGGGTGGACAACTTCTGCCTCCTCGTTGAGGAGATTAACAAGCTGATTAGCTTTGTCACCCATCGAGGGAAGGCCACGTGCGAAATGGTGAAATGCTCCTTTGCCAATTTCCCTCTTGTCCTCCGTGAAGACAATTTCAGCGTCCAGTTTCGCTTCTACACCATTGTGTGGGGCGATTGGGTGGTGCGTCACAGCAGAGAGCACTCCTCCGTTGGAGTGTCCACGAATGGATGGTGCGTCTCCTTCTCCTATGGGGAGAAAGATGACTGTTCCTTTCATTTCAACGAATTGATAGACCGCGTGGTGAGTACAATTGTAGACGCGAATTACGCCAAGGAGAAGATCGTGTGGTGGTCTGAATTTTTTTACACCCTGGGGAATTTCGGCGTGGTGAACTTCCATCTGCTTTTTTATTTCTGCTCCCTGGTGAGGGAACTTGCCAGGGGGGGTGCAAAAGTGGGCAAAGAAGAGGAGAAAAACGAAGGGTGTAAAGTGAGGAACGAAGAGGGGCAAGCTGCGGAGTACCTCGCGGGGGACAACTTCCCCCCCCGTTTCTCGCATGCCCTGCGGAGGAAAGTTCAAATCTGCGAGCAGATATACGTGCTGTACCTATTCAGGATAGGCCTGCTCCTCAACGTGAGCCTTTACGAAGCCTTCGACTTGCTAACTTCGTTAATCAGTGCCGTTTTTAATTTTGACTTTTTCCAATTTTACATGAACAAGAGGAAGTACCATGTAGAGGAAGACACCCGGGGCGAAGTCCAATCGTTTGTGAACAGTGTGAAAGAGGAAGCGAAGAATATTCTGACCAATTACGATGTTAATGTTTTTATAGAGAGCATTATCTATGTAAGCGATTGTGTCTTTCTTGTGAAGAGCGTAAAATTTTTGATTCTTAAGAGCTACTGCTTTGTTAATGTCCTGTTGCATGTGCTGTCCTTGAAGAAAGTAATCATTGACATGAGCAACGTGGAATGTGTCGACCTTCTGGAGGGGGAGACGGACAGGAGGGAGGAGGTACACAAAGGGGGCAGCGATACCATGGAATGGCCCCAATTGAGCAAATCGAAGGGTAAGAAAGTAGAAATGGTGTCTTCATTTGGTGGTGCTTCCAGCAGTGAAGAACCCGAGAAGGATTCGCTTCCAGATTGCTGGAACTACGACTCGGCGGAGGAATCGGAAAAGTTTAGCTCGTCCGACAGTAGTGACGGTGATAAGGTGGAAGACCATTTGGACGGTTATGGAAGCTTCTACAAGGGGAGGCATCTCGAGAAGGCGGCCGAAGAGGCGCTTAACAGCCGGATGAGAAACCCCAAATGGGGCAACGTAAACCACGGGGCAGAAAAAAAGGGAGGGAAAAAAATATGGATTTTACAGATCTTCAAATATTTTGATTGCCACTCATTTCTCTGCTTTGGGAAGGACAAAACGGAAGAGGAGCATTTTTACGAGAAGAGAAAGAATTTCAGAAATTTCTTTTTCCCCGAGAATTTGAAAAAATGGAAAAAAAAAAAAAAAAAAGAAAAATGTGATCAAGATTTGTGCAGATTAGTCTATACGTTAAAGAAGCGATTAATTCAAAGGGGAAATTTTTTAAGCATGTATAAGCAGGCCTTCTTTATAAAATGGACTTGTCTTGGTATCTTTATTTTGCAAAAGTATCGGTTAAAAATGTTTGACAGCTTTGAGGCTTTTCAGTATATATACGAAAGAGTGAACTCCGTGGTGCGTAGAGAAAATTTGCTTTTTAAAATTCCAGCCGACGTGAATTGGGCCGCGCCATTGGAAGACAGCGAAGACATTAGGCACCCGTTTCTCATCTGTCTTTGCCATATCAGCCAGCAATTTGGGGCGCTGCTTCGACGCCACCGTAAGGTGAGCGGTCAGTACGCTGAGACAGAGCAGCGTTCCATTCGTGACTGCCCAGAAGCATTTCCAGACGAAGAAGCCAAACGACAACATGAAGGGGAAGCACTATTTAACGAGGTGAACATTTATTTAAACAATTTCATTTTGTCCTTTTATCCATATCTTATCAAGTCTCGTTTTTCCTATGACATATTTTTGAGGCTCCTCAGAATTTACCTGAACATGTATTTGATAACGAAGAGGAGAAACGCCCTCTCTGTAAACTCCCCCATTTATCTCCTTCTGATGATTTTTGTCCACCACACACATGTGTGCAAGTACGTCATGTTTTCCTACTTCATGAGGGTTAAGCAGTATTTGCATTCCCCTGAACAATCGGAGGAGGATTTGCGCGAAGACTTCCTGCCGCGTGAGGCGTTGCAGGTTTACTTCAGGTATGCAGGGCGAGCCCCCCATGAGGGGATCATCCCGCTGGACGTATTGAGTTCACGCGAAATGAGTTGGTGTGATGTCCATGTAGCATCCTTCCCCCGTCAGCCTCTTCGCGTGGCTTTCGAACTGCACCGTTCACCATTATGCAAGCTTCTTATTATTTTATTTCTTTTTTCCCCTTTTCAGAGAAAGCGTGGAGTTCTTCCTACGCAACTGCACCCAGGAGGACCTCCAATTTGACGACGTAAAAATCAGCTGCGACGGAAACGCAATTTCGCTGTTTTATCACATGTTAGTTGGGAATATTGTGTAGAACTCGTGGGGGAGCTTTTTTGCATATGTAAGGATGGAAGGAGCAGAGAGAGAGAGAAAAAAAAAAAAAAAAGCGCTATTGTGTGGACTTCATAGAAAAGGGCATTTTCGCGCTTGCGTCTATTCCTTTTGGGATGTTTGTCTATTTTTTTCTTCTACCTTTTTTTGGAAATGATAAGCTTTTTTTGTTCGTAGTTAAATGGTTTTTTTGTTCGCAGCTAAATGGTTTTTTTGCCCGTACTAAGTGCTTTTTATTTTTTTTTTTTGTTTTTTTCCTTTTTTTCCTAGCCCCACAAGCAATCCCCAGCTGCGCAAAAACGTTGCATAATTTTGGTCCCTCCTTGTGGGGGTCACCACATTTATCGGCATTTCAAAAAAACTTCCAACGCATTATGTGGCATTCGCTACGTTTTCCTTTTTTTTGTGTCATTAATTTGAACATTGGGAGTGTCACTTGGGAGTGACATTTGGGAGGGACACTTGGCAGCTTTAGTCGTTATTTGCCTCCTTCGCGGCACCCTGGAAGTTCCTTTCTTTTCCCGCGCCACCTTGCCTGTGATGGGGTTCCCACATGTCAGCTGGGACATTCTCAACTGAGGCCGCCTCTTCCCCTCACCTGCGCGGATGGCGAGAATGGCGGTAATCGCCGTAGTCATCGTAACCGCCGTACCAGCCGCCCTCGCCATAGTCGCCGTCTTCCCTGTCGCTAGGCCCATTTGACTCGCTGGGGCCGCTTGGCGCGCTGGGCTGGCCCGGGTCGTCCCGTTCCCTCCCGCCTACGAGCCTCAAGTGCAACTGGTTAATCTCGTCGAAGATGATCTGCGTGAAGAGCAAAATTATCTTGAGCTTATTCAGGTCACTCTTCCCGAGAGATTTGAAGTAATTACGCCGATTGTATCTCACGTATAGCCCCAAATAAGCAACCACTAACAAAATGTTCACAGCAATGAACAGTGAATTTTTATTGTATGATGAGAGGAAGAGGAAATATTTTGAAAAAATGCTGAAGAGTAATTCTGGCTTGATAAAATTGAAGTAGACCAACATGTCGTATCTAAGTAACGAAATGATAAAGCCGAAGAAGATGGCCATATATTTGAAGAAATAGAACTTCAAATTTTGAATTCGAAGAGACCTGTTTTGCTTCACTACGTGTTCATTGTCGGAGATCTTTTTCAAACAGGTGCTTCGTATTTTCTCAAGGTCTCTCTTGAGCATATAGATGCTTTGGTTGCTCTTCAGGTCGATCGTTTCGTCGATTTTGAATATCAGCTCGTGTATCATGTTAAGTTCCCGCACGTCTTCGTTGCGGATAGGGGGGTGCATAGCGGTGCGCATCCCCTTGTGCATTCTGCTGTGCATTCCGCCGTTCATGCCGCTGTCCACACCCGGGGGGAGGTAGGCCGAGCTTCTCCCGTTTCCATGGTAGTCGATGTCCTTCAGGAAGGACTCGCCATACACGTCATCATCCACACCGGGGAAGTAATTCCCACGGGGATAATTCCCTTTCCCATACTCCCCGTATCTGCTGACCGCACCGTTTCCATTCCCCAGAATGAGAAACTCCTCTGGTATGCTTCTCCTCTGACCATATCTCGAATTCGTAGGCCTATTGTCCATGTGATTATCCTGCTCATCCTGACACAAATCATTCTTCAGTTCCCTCCCATACTCATCATGTTGATACTGAATGTTACAGCTAAATCGGTTTCTTCTTTCATTATTATATTTCCGATTAGCACCTGCGACCTTCCCCTTCTCATATTTCCACTTTTCCTTTTTAAGTAAGTCGCTTGGAATTTCTGGAAGATAGATGGTTAAAAATTCGAGTACCTTATACGTGTTGTTTTCTCCATCGTTGATATCAGTGTATTTTAATTTGTTTGCTTCATCCAGTTGGTAGAGCTTGTCGACGTTCACAGCTCGTCCGCGAGCACCACTGCTCCTGCTGATGTAATTGTTTATGCTCGTATGGATTAGACTATATATCGTTGTTACTACTTCGTAGATGAGGACAAGAAAGAATATGCTAATGTTTTTGAGGCAGTCTCCGTAGTTTATTTTTTTTTCGAACAGTTTGTCCAGGTGTGTCTTAAGCTTCCCCTCGTTTGATTTTGACGGATCGACGCGTTTGATGGGGGAGGGGCCCATGGAAGGGTGTTCCACGGAAGGGTGCCCCATAGAGGTGTGCCTCATCTGAGCTTGCCCCCTCGAAGCTTGCCCCCCGTTTCGCATCGAGTTTAATCGACAGATGTCCCCCTTGGCGGCATTCCCCGAGCTCAATATTTTGTCCTTAAACGAGTTGTAACTTTTGGTCAAAATTTTTTTGAAAATTCCGCCTGTCTCTTCTTCACCGGTAACTTTCTCCTGCACGCGCTCGCCTTTCCTGTGCCGCGTCGGGAAGTTGCTCTGGTCGTCTCCATAGCAGAGTTGCCGATCGTCTTGGTAGGGTTCCTCTTCACCGTAGTAGTGGTCTGCTTCACCATAGCTATGTAATCCTTCATTATAGCTTGGTCCTCCTTGGTTATACCCCCCGTCTTCCTCTCCGCAGCATTGCCCCACATCGTCTATGTCGCTCCGGTCGACTTCCCCCCTCGCACTGCGAAGGGAGCTCCTGGAGGCAAAAGCGCCGCCGAAACTCACCCGTTGAGTGGCTCTTCGGCTAATCATTTTGGTGAGCATTTTGGGGAATAGAAGGACGTTCTGGAAGGACCGAATGGATCGATTGAAGAATTCGTTTATCATGTGAGCGTTTTTGCTGAGTGGGTTTCGCCAATTCAGGCTGCCTCTCCAATTCAGTCCGCTTCTCCAATTGAGCCCGCCTCGCCAATCCAGTTGGCCGTGCTGCTTCCTTCCGGTGTGGTGACCCATGTAGGGCTCCATTTCCATCCCGTCGACAAGGGAAGCGGCCCCATTTGGGTTGGCGAAGCTGTACCTAAACAGATTTAAGCTTCTTAAAAAATATTGAGTGAGGTAGAACACCACTCTGTAGAGGTTAATCTTCTGAATCATGTCAATTCTGGTGAGACAGATGGTAACTTTGTTGAGCTGATTATCCATCAGATAGTTAATAATTCGAAGGAGTCTGTTGTTTATAGAAAACTGATTAGAATCGAGAAAGAGGAAAATTGCATCTACGTATTTGGACAGATTCATGATAATTTCATCATACTCCACATCACCTATGTCATTGATCCCACTTGTATCTAAAAAAGATACCGAATTTATTCTGTTCATGTACTTGGTCAGATTATTCTGGTAGCAGATTTTTCCAAAAATGTATTTCTTAACATTGTGTGCCTTCTTTCGTAGCTTCTGAAATGGCATAAACAGATAATCGCAGTTTTCTCCTGAGAGGATTACTTTCTCACTTTGGTTGTGTTTATCCATGCTAGGTATGGGACTGGCAGGAGAGGAGAGATCTTGCTCGTTTGGGTCCTCCATATGATTAGGGTTCATCTGTGGGTGAGGTCTTTCCCTACTGTAGTGGAAAGAAGAGCCATAAGATCCACCCCTATTTCTGTGTCTGTTCAGAAGGCCAAACTGGTAGTTGGCATTATTTAACCTCTTAAAATTGAACTTAAACTTATTTTTTATATCTACGTATGTAATTTCGTTTTTCTTTCCAATCGAATTCGTATTCTGGACGTAACTTTCGGTGAACCAATTAATGAAGGAGCTCTTTCCACTCTGAGGGTTACCCAACAGAAGGAAGGTAGTCTTCTTGTGGAAAACAGAGATGTCCACATTTAAGTAATCACTTATTATGTTTAAGTTCAGGTCATTTATGCAGATGTTGTTGTTGCTGTTGTTGACATTTTTTAAATCTGTGTACCTGGACTGTTTGTTGTATATTTGGTCTATTCGGTTTAGTACATCTGCGATGAAGTTGTCGTTTTCTCCCCTCATGTAGTATTCACTGTTGGGGTGACGCTGATTGGAGGTTCTAGTGTTGAGAGTTTCACTCGGTCGAGATGTGGCTGATTTAGCAGCTGCTCTCGCGGCTGCATGTGCCTCCCTCTGGATTCCCCCTCCTTCACCGTCGCTACTGTTGCAGCTGTAGCAGCAGGAGGCTCTCTCTTCGGCTTCCTCCTCCTTGGAGATAATCTTTCCGCTGGAATACTCCTTTGTCATTTGTTCCTTCTTGGATCGGTAATCTGCCAGCAACTTGTTGTAGCGCTCAAACATCAGCTCGTTCTTCCTATCAGTTTTGGCCTCCCCATTTTGTACTTTTTCATTTTTATTCATCGTCTGGTGGTCCATCGGCAGATTCGTTTCTCCCTCCTCCTCTGCGTTGGCTGCCTCGTAATAATAATTATTGTACGAGTTGAAGTTAATTTGCCTGACTTCGTCGTCGTACTCTTCCTCTTCGTAGTCGTCATCATCGTCTTCTTCGTCATCTTCCTCGTCGTCGCCAACTTGGTAGTCTTCGTCATCCTCATCGTCGTCTTCGTCGTCTTCGTCTTCTTCGTCTTCTTCCTCCTCTTCCTCCACCTCTGCGCCGTCGTAGGTGTCTTGGTGGGGACCCCTCCCCGCCACACAGTTGTTGCCTTTCTTATCTGCCTTACTAAACATGACGGCCTTGTCTAAATAATCCATTTCCATCAGACCCAGTTTTTTTTTTTTCTGATTGTGCATGATATTTTTGTAATTGTTCATATTCATTTTATTATTTTCACAATTCTCATCATTTCGATAATTTTCATCGTTGGGGCCGTTGGCCCCGTTTTGCGCGTTGCCGCTTTTGGTGTACATGCTTCTTGGGAGGGCGGTGTTAATGTTAGTAGAGACCGATGGGGGAGCTGCTCGAAGGAGCGGCACGACAATGGAGAGGCCCCTTTCTCAGGTAAGAAGACCAACGGAGGAATTCCCTCATGTGCAAGTATATTTTTACACGTTTAGGTTTTTCACGTGTAGTGTGTCGATTCCGGGGCTTCTATACCCTATAGGGTTCCGCGACAAAGGATGAACTTCAAGAAGAATGTGACGCTGCCTGGCAAACTCATCACCCCCGGTGTCTAATGAGGTTGTGTGCATGCTGTTAAGTTCAGCCCTCCCTTTTTTTTTTTTTCTTTTTTTTGCCGCGAGCTTTGAGAGATTTCACGCTTCTTTTATCTTTAGCACTTCGCGTCTCCCTTTCGACAGGGGGATAATTTTTTTTTCCTTCAGTCTTATCCCCACCTCGCAGTGCTTCAACTGGGCCACTAGTTTCTCCTTTTCGAGGCGGCTCTCCACTGAGGAAACGCATTTTTGCACTTTCGCGGTGACCATGGGGATCCGCCCAATAAAAGGTAGATATGTTTCATTTTTTTTTCTCGTCTCTGTCACTTTTGCCACTTTTTTTTTTTTTGGCGCGATGGGGTATGCAAGACAGGGTTGCCAGGTGTTCACATGTAGATATGGGTATATATGTAAACATGTTTTTTTTTTTTTTTTTTTTTTCTCTCCCCCTTGTGTTGCTTCGTGCGAGGGGAGCAAAATGGAAGACCTAAGCTGCAGGTCTTTCCAACATAGGCCTTTCTCTTACAGCTAAAAGTTGGACGTTAGCATTGCTTTTCGAATGGAGCAGATGGGTGAGCTGACTAGCTGGCCCATGTTCGTGGGCATGATAGAGGGAATAACGTTGAGCGGATAATCGGCCACACTGCGGTTAGGTAGCTCTTTTTTTATTGATAACGTTTTTTCTTTCTTTAATGGACACCTTTGGTTTGTTGAATAAATGGAGAAGGGAAAGCTGCCACGTATTGGGAGGTGTTATGTTTGCAAGGTTTCCTTTTTGATAACTCCCCCCCTAAACAGAAACATACATAAATAAACACGTACATGGGCCAGACTCCTTGGCATTCCTTTTGAATGTGTTTTCAGGACGGGGGTGAGGATGACCTATCGGAAGACGACCCCTTCTTTTTTTTCTTCCTCGTGGAAGTGGTTTGTACGTAAGCAAATTACTACACAAGTGTTTCCTGGTGTAGCGTTCCTTGTGGGGCATATCTCGCCATTGGGGTTGTCTTCCAGCTTTTTTCGCGAATGGGCAGAGCAACAGGAACAGGCAGGAACCCACGCCATTGCAATTTGGACAAGTAGTCGATGAAGTGGATTTTAAAAGAGAAAAAAAAAAACTTCCACGTTGTGCCTCTTTGCAACGCCTGCAATGGGGAGAAGGCAGCCCCCCTGCTCGGCCTCATCACATCATTATCTGGTGAATAAAAAAAAAAAAAACCAACACATACATACATGCGTATACTTAAAACAGTGAGCGGACAAAACCGCTTTGGCCGACTGGTGTTACGCGAAATTGCTATAAATGGCAACACAGCTAAGGAAATTTATTAAAACATTTGTTTTCCTTTATTTTGTCCCATTTCGTGCCAGTCCTGTTTCTTGGAGGCGCCTTTTTTTTTACCCCTCTGCAGGCGTAAACTGTGCATTCATCTTTGCAAAGTTGCGCAAAAGGGTAATTAAAATAAAAAGGAAATTTGTTCGCCAGTCATATGGGATGTACAGTCATTTTTTACAAAAACAGGACGACTGTACTTCTTTCTTTTGACACCCCGAAGGGGCATTCTGTTATATGATTGTAGTGATTATTTTGTTTTTTATTTTATTTTTTTTTCCATCCCGGGGGGAGTGAAAATCGCTCCATCTGCGCATAGCCATACCATTTCGAGGGATAAGAAAAAAAAAAATGATATCGTATGAACGGACATGCCCACCATAACATGACATAACATTTGCAACAAGCGGAGGAACGGGAGTAAGCGAAGGAGCATGCTAAGCAGGCGGCGATGCCAAGGAAGGGGTACTTCTCCAGAGGAGTGCCCCACCGCGGTGAGCCCACGCAACAACGACGTTGCCACACGGGAAGAAGAAGCACACAAAATGTTTGGAAGATGCACATGCAATCCTTTTCGAAACGACTACTCCACCTGTTGAGAGTTAACCGAATGATGTTTTGTGGCCCGTTTAGGTGCGCGTACCATTTTGAGCAAACCAACATTCCCAGCAAAGGGGCATATGGTGCGCATGTAAAAGGGGAGACAGCCAACCGGCTGGACCATTTGGTGGTGAGGATAAGACGAAATAAGAGAATCCACGCGCTTGAGGATTTTAAGGAGTCGGCGGGGGAGAGACTGCCGCAGCATCCGGCGGATAGCCAAGACAAATTGGGGGCAAAGTTTGACCCAAATGGTGGCGCAGCAACTGGCCCAGGAAGTGGCGCACGAGGTGGCACAACTGCTGGCTCAAAAGCTAGTCCCAATAGTGCCGCAAAAAGTGGTGCACACTTTACGGCCAGTTTTGGCCCAAATGATGAAAGTGAAAAACGGGGGAAGGAATATCTTCTGAACGAATTAAACGAGTTTGTCTCCGTGGATAGACGGGGTGAGGAAGGTGGCGGTACGGTGAAATGCTCCACCCAGAATGAAGACCCCAACGTGAGTGAGGAGGGTTCCCCGAGCGGGCACTCCGGACAGTGGCGACACCCCGTGGACGGCGATCACGATGAAGAAATAAAGTTAGAAAAGCTATTAAAGAAGAGACAAATCATAAAAAAAGACATCGTAACGATAACGGAAAAGGCAAGGGAGGAAATTAAAAAACTAGTCAAAGAATATCGTAGCAAGGAAGATAAGGACACAAATTATGTTTTGAAGTTATTTTACATCATCAAGGGATGCAATGGATTGACTCATTCATTTAACTTCGTCCATAGAGATGAGCTCCATGCGAATGACGAACTTATTTTCGAAGACGATTGTAGAGAGAGCATCCTCCTAGCGATTGATAGGAAGTGTGTACTCTACGTCATTAACACCACGCTGGATTATTACAGGGACGATCTGACGGAGCGCTTTATCTTCACGAACCCGAACGTGACGTCTGTTTGTCCCTGCGGGACGAGTTTCCACTTTAACCGCAGCGGGGGCTGATTCGCACCTACGCAGGTGCACGCATAGAAATAGAAGCCTGCATAAATACCTACATAGACAGCTACATAGTCACCTGCATAGATAGACAGATATCCACACACATGCTTGTGCGGCCGCGCCCCTCGCACTTTTCTGTGTTCACGCCTTTTTTTTTCCGTGCGACCTGGGCCAAATGAACCCCACCTCAATGCGCCCATTTTTATTTTGTAAACACGGCCTTCTTAGCGAGCATCACTGTCTTCTCGCCTGGCGCCGTCGTTTTGCATTTTTATCGTCTGCAGCAGACTGTCTATGTCGATTTCGCCCTCCTTGACGTAGTTTAAGTCCTGCGGTGGGGAGCAGTGAAGGGAAGCGGTAAAGCGATATAGGGGTGAGGAAACGTGGCGATATAGCGGTGGGGAGAACTAGCGTGCAAATCCATAGGCCGCAGGACCAAGCGCTCCTCGAGGGGGAGCCGCTTACCCCTGCGAGGGGGCAATCTCTGCCGTATTACCTTCGGGTACAAATTCGCGTTCTTCTTGTAGATCGCCTCATCCTTCGTAATGCAGTAGTAGAGGACGCCATTACAAACGTACAGATCAAAGTGGGATTCCTCTTTGGCAGTACCGGCTTGGTTTTCCCCCTCCTTTTCCTGCGTGAAATTGTGTGAACGCTCCTTTGTGGTGGTCGCTATGTGGACCTCGCCGCTTCCCCTTTTAAGAACCGTTACAGATTCTACTGCAAAGGAGGAAGCATTAATTTTGTAGACGCCGCCCCCATGGGGGTGCCCCTGATGTGTATCCTCATCTCCTGGGGCATCCGCCCCATCGGTGAACAAATAGTTAGTGAAAAATTTGTTCGTAAAAAGAGGATGTTTATTTTTAAAGAGCCAGCTTTTGGCATTTATGAGGAGAACTTTTTTCTTCTTAGTTTTTTGAAAGGTGTGGATATATAACTGCAAAATGTAGTGGTCCTGGGGGAAGGTGTCCTTAATGTGTTTTTTGAAGAAGATCCTTATGGTTTGTATGATTTCTTCAATTACATCCGATTTGGACAGAAAGTCGAAGTAATAATTGAGGCATTTTTGAGACACGGCCACTACCCTGTTGCAATAAACGTACACATCGAAGAGGAAGCATAGGTTGAGATTTACGTACTTTGAGAGAATGAGGTAGTTCTCTCTCTTCGTTTGCTCTCGCTTCAACGTTTTGTAGACATCTGTGCAGCTTTTTAGCATTAGCAGGGCATCATATAGAGTGTTGACCTCTAGGTTGAAATTGTTGACGAATGATCCCTTCCTCAAATTTTTGTAATTCAATCGCAGGAAGACACTTCCGTTTAGTTCCTCGATGGCTTCTTGTATCTCCTCCAGTTGGCTTCGAAACTGCTCGCTTTTGAAAATGTTCTCTCGTTTTCGTTTTTCACACTTGTCATCGGGGATGTAATCGTGAGTTAGATCGTTCTTGTGGCATCTCAAATGAGTCGCTTCTTCTATGCCGGTGTGGCAACCCATGTGTTCACTCTTCATTTCTGACTGGGTATCTTCCTCTGACTCTGCCGATGATCCCTCCGAGTAGGAATCGAACGAAGAGTACTCATTGTCCTCTTCCTGTACAGCCCGTAGCGTATTACGTTTGACATAACTTGGAAGGAAAACCGAATCGAGAAGGAGGTACTCTACAACCTCTTCATTCAATTTTATGTGCCTCGATTTTATCATGATGTCATGATATTGATCATACAATTCTTTGTACCATATGGAGCTGCTCTTTTTCAAAGTGGAGTTATAAAACTGGGGTTCGAACAGAGCGAAGAGGAAGGCATTGATCCGGTGTAGTGCCCTTTGTATGTCATTTGCCTCTGGGGAGCGGGGACAACACCATTCGTGAAAATTTTGGAATAGGATTTTTTTTTTTTTTTCCTCCAAGTGAGTTTTTCCACTTATCGAGTGCAGCTTGATGGCGCTCAGCACCTGGTTGACGATCTTGCGTTGTTCGCCCTGCGTGATGGGGGCGTTGATGGGGTTGATTGCGTTTCTTCTGAGCAGCACTTTGAGTTGGTTTCGCCTTGCCGCAGGGGGGGCTCGCGTGGCAACCTCCTTCGATGTCTCTGCCTCATTTGGCTGAACTTCCCCGTTTGGGTGTCCTGCCCTGTTTGGCCCCTTCCCTTGTTCTTCCTTCGGGTGAATATCCCCCATCTGGCCCTCCCCCGTGACAATCCCGTCAAGGTCGTAGTTCCACTTCCTGCTGATGAGAGTGCATTCGTTCGAAATCACCGTGGCGACGCCACTGTCTAGATGCAGGTCGACTCCTACTCTAACCAAGTTGTGATTATACTCCACGTCTTCTTCATCAGTGCTGAGCAGAATAAGCCCGTCCAGGTGTATCTGACGAACCATTTGGAGGGTTTTATCACACCGAGGTAATCTTGTGACACCTTCGCCCTGCGATCCATGGTCGCAGCCCTGTATAGGCATCTTCAATTTTTGGGCCTTCTCCTTTACATCACTCAAAAGGGAATCTTTCACTTTACGTGCGTTCATAATCAAGTAGATGGACTTAAAATTGTCCATTAAATACTCATAAAGGAATGAGCTCAACAGGATAGTGTCGTCACCAAGGGGGTGGATCACGCACTGGCAGTCGTCCGACATGCTTTCTGCCTCGGCTGCCCCCGCTGCTTCGTCCTCTTCGTCCACTTCGTCCTTTTGGTCTACTTCACCCCTCTGGGGGATTCCTTCCTTGTCGCTGTGCATACCATTGTGGGCAGTGGTCATTCTTGCGAAGCGACTGAATCATGTTCTTTCTAAGCACAGCGGAGACGTGAAATGCATTCCTCTGTGTTTCGGATTCGCGTACATGGGAAAAGTATAAAATTTGGACGCCTCCCTTCGGAGCAGCTCCAACAAGGGAACACTGTGCGAACGAAGTAGGTAGCGACGGCCCACTCAGTTCTTTAACTAGCAATAAGCAGGGGAGATATGCGTGCATTTATCTATGCGCTGTTCTCCTAAGTTGTTGAAGCTTGGCGACATATGCATCTGCGGGATGGTATGCAGCCACGAAGGATTTCCATCCAAGGAAAGTTACAAATGATACAAAAAAAAAAAAAAATTATTCTCCAGATTACAAATTCTGGAGTATATAGAAATGTATATGCTAAGCCATTCTTCAGTTGCTACCGCAAAATAAAAAAGAAGAAAAAAAAATGATAAAAATGAAACGATTCAACAACAGCGTTGTAATTGTTTTGTTTTATCTCAGGGGTGGGTGCCAAAAGAGTGGAGACGCATTTCAATACATGTACTTCTTTCTTCTATCCATAGCGAGTGACAAACCCGTCCCGTTTTTTTTTCCCCCATTTTGCACCTCTTTTTATTAGGGCCGACTGGCTGAAAAGCGTGCGCGGTGCCAGACTTCCAGTCGGTTAACTACCAATCGGATCGCTCTCCGTGTTTGTGCAGATATCTTCAGGCGCATGTATATATGACAGGGGGATTTTGACGTATTTATAAGAAATGTTTTTTTTTCCCCAGCTTCAGGCTTCCCTCTCGTACAGCCGCTTATCAGTTTGGCGATGCCTCCAAATCGCAAAATATGAGGGGCACGTAACTGATGAGAATCTACCTCCGTCAGTTCACCTTCGCGCGTAGCTTCCTGACTGGGTGGATCCCATTTTATGCAGAAGAGTGGCACCTCTGTGTGAGGCATTTTTTCCACTCTCTCCTTAAGGAGAAACAGAGAGTTGAAGTCGGAGCTGCAGCGTGAGGAGGCTGCACGCATTCGATATTCGATTCGCGCGAAGTAGCACTCTCGAGCGGTGTGAAAAGAGGCCTCTGTACACATACACGCAGCGGCTGGCATGCAATCCTCACATTCATCCTAATGGAGGTTTTTTTTCTCTCTCTGCCTAACTGTTGTGAGATTACGCGTTCGCGAAGGAAACTAATTTTTTCATTTCTCCTTTTGTGCGACGCGTTTCTCTCCTCTCTTCTTTGAGGCCCTAAGTTGTTTGCTTTTCTGTTTAACGCTGTGGACCTCTTCACTTGGCTCTCTTCCCCCTGGCACTCGCCCCCATCTTCTAATCGCCGCAACTCGCATCGTTTTTTTCGATCAGCGATTCCTGCACAGGGTGCCAACCACAGTGACTAGCTTAAGCTGGGCAAGAAGCCCTGAGAGTGGCCACGCAAGGAGCCTTGCGAAAGTTCGTACACACATGCGCGTGTGTATGGAACTGTCCCTAATGGTTTCTCATTGAGGAGGAGAAGGCGCACGGGCAGTTACTTCACGGGTGACTTCCTCACTAGTGACCTGTTCCACAGTGATCGCGAACGCCACCTGGCCTCGGAATCCTCGCGAAGTGAGGCATTCCCCACCCACTTCCTCTTCGTATGTGAAGAAGGTGTTAGGGTGACCAGGAAGATTCCCTACCGGAAATGTATCTCCTGTCACATGGACCTTTTGTGAACAACTTTTAGCCGTCCCGTTTCTTCTTCTCCAACCCTGACCCCCCTCCACCACCATTTTGTCGTCACCCCATTGGCTTATTACCTATTTATTATTTTGATGTTTTCTTATTTTATTTTGCTATTTTATTATTTTATTTATTTATTTATTTTTTCTTTTCTGGCTTGCACTTTTTTGTTCGCTTCATCGGCGTCCTTTTCCCAACTGTCGCTTCTGACTCAGCACGTCTGTACACGCAAGAGCGTACAGGAATGAGGCGGCACAGCAAGAGAGAGCACGCGCAGAAGGATGTTCCTCCAATTTCGTAGACGGGTAAAGCGAAACCAAGTTGCACACACGACCATGTGTACGTTTACATCGATATGTATATATATATAGAGAGAGACTCGCAGCTGTGCTGAGAGGTGAGCATACCTGTGGTGACTGTCCCCCCGTTCAGTGCCTCCTCCGTGGGGGTGAACACGTAGATGGAGCTATTCACCGGGGTGTAGGTGAATCACCACCACCTGTGAAGCGATAACTATATGGGGGCGATTTACCGTTTTTCACATTATATGTATATCTTCCCCCTCTCAGAATACGACGTACCTGACGCAGGACGAGTGTTCTTAATGGATGGCGCGAACCGAAAGGGGAAAGTACAGCCCAAAGGTAGAAGCAGCGCCTGCGGCAAAGGGGGGGGGGCCAGAAAATGAAGCCTGAAAATAGCACAAGAAGCAGAAATAAATATGATTGTCTAATTGGCTTTCGTCTACCCCGACTTTCTCAATACGCCATTCACCGGGCGACACGCGCAATTTTTTGATCGAGCTGGGGGACGGCCACGAGTGGAAGGACTCAACGACCCGTCTTCCACCCGGGATAGGTCCAACTGGTCGGTGAGTGTCCCGTGAGTGTCCCCTGATCGATCCTACTCAATATCCCCCCCTCACTGCTACTCTGCTACTACTCTGCTTCTTCCCCACCGAGCGCGCGAAAAATGAATCATGAAAATGACGATTTAAGAAAATTCAAAGGTAGACCTCTATTCGAAAACGTGCACCGAGTGAAACAGGGGAGTTTGTTCTGCCACGAATCCCTGGACATTGACATGAAGGGGTTCCTAAACCTGGTGGTCATATTAATATGCACAGTGAATTTCAGGCTCATCCTGGAGCGTATAAAGAAGCAGGGATTCGTCGTATATTTGCCCCACAGTAGTGACGTCTTAAAAAATTTGCCTCTGCTAGTTTGTTTTGTGTGTCTAAGCTTAGGCCTCTTTTTTAGTTGGTTCATCGAAAGGTACGTGACATGTTGGCTGCTGTGTCAACCGAGTACTACTGATGAGAGGGTCGGAGGGAGGAAGGGCTCTTCTTGGCCCTTCCCGCGTGAGGATAAAAACAGCAAGATAAAGGAGTTAACGAATTGTCAATTTATAGATCAGATAGGTTGCTCTCGTGCGAGTGACGAGGCGACAAACGATGGGAGTGTGCATAGCGGCGGGAAAAGCCCCTCGTCGGTGAGACGTAGAGGTGGAAAGAAGCGGCAGCAGGGGGAAGAAGCTGGAGAGGAAGATGCAGAAGAAGATGCGGAAGAAGATGCGGCAGGTGGAGATACAGGAACATACTCATTTGATCCGTTTGTTAATGTGCCCAGTTGGGGTGAAAAGTCCACCGGATGGAAGAACTTCCATCTGTCGATTTTTTTACTAAGGTGCATAAACAGTCTCTTCATGCTGCTGTTTCCCTACTTAACGGTGACTCACTACGACGCAGAACCCATTTTGTCGTCGATCCTGCTGACCATATCGATCGTCTGGTTTTTTAAAATCTATTCATTTCACCAAGTGTGTTACGACACGAGGAAATTATACATCGATAAGGTGAACCTTGATAGGATAAAGGATCCCTCATTTGAAGTAACATACGTGAAGAATTACCCTTACTGTCTCAGATTAAAGGATTATTTCACCTATATGCTCATGCCAACGTTATGTTTCCAGTATACTTATCCAAGGACAGAGAAAACGAGGTGGTCTCACGTGGCCAAGTATCTCATTGAAGCGATTCTACTAACAATAATGATAAAAATTATTCTAGATCAGTATATATTTATAACGATGGAAAATACATTTACGATGAAGGAATTCAAGTCAGCACAGCTGACTGTTAAGATCACTCACATAATAGAACGGATGCTAAAAATCTCCATAGGGACCCTATACATTTGGCTGATTGGCTTTTTAATTGTATTTCATCACTGGTGTAATATTTTGGCCGAAATAACCCGATTTGATGATAGGCTCTTTTACAAAGACTGGTGGAATGCTAGCTCTTTTGCAGATTATTGGAGGAAGTGGAACCTTCCTATCCATTATTTTATCCACAGACATATTAACAAGCCTCTCATTTATTACGGATTTAACAGAAACTTCTCCATGATTGTCGTTTTTTTTATTTCTGCTTTGCTACACGAGTATTTAATTAGCATTCCTTTGAAGTTAGGTTTCTCAGGATATATATTTTTTTTTTTTATTGGACAAATTCCTCTGATACACTTGACGAGCAATAATTATTTTAAAAAGCACAAGACTACCGGGAATGCATTTTTTTGGATTGTCTTTTGCATCACTGGCCAGCCCCTCATTGTGTTCATTTATTACTACTCCTGGGTGAGTCGCAAGGGCATTCTGTATCGATGAGGTGGGCGTGTCGTAACCCCATATGTGGTAACCGCATATATGCTTACGTGACTATGTGCGTATGCCCTTATATGCCTATGTCTGTGGGGCCAGTTTCCCCATCCAGCCGAGCGCCGCCCTCCAGTAGCGACTACTTGGACCCACGGTCGGTCATCGTTTGCCCCCCTGATTTGTGCCTTCCGCGTCTTGTTTGTAGTCGCCCATCTGTATGTGATGGCATTTACACGTATGTCTACATTTGCACGTATGGATACGCTTATACTTTGCTGACATTTCCATCTCCATTTACACTTATGCTCACGCACAGAGTGCGCTCCACTCGCGCACCCCTTTCTTGTGAACAATTCATCCCACCACATTGACCTTATCGAAAAGACCCTTCCCTCTCCCTACATGGGAGGGAGCAGCCATTTGGCCCGTCCCACGGCACATATATACATACCTATGTGTGTATATTGTGCATTGTATATTGTTCTTTTCTTTTTTTTTTTTTTTTTTTTTTCCTGTTCGTCCTGTTTTCCCCCCTACAAATAAGAAAAAAAAAAACGAAAAAGTGACAATTCTGCGCAGAAAAGATAGATATATACGACCCAATTAAATACTCATTTGGAGCAAACCAACATGTGACTACAAGGACAACAAAAAAAAGGAAAAAAAAATAAAATAAAAAAATATTCCGCTTAGTGTCATCCCCGTGAGGGCCTCTCCATTTCGATAAAGCCTGTCCCATTTGGCCATTTCTCTGCTCAACTGTTTCGCCCTTCATTTAGCACATTCGCATTTGGTCTGGAGGAGAACTACTACTACTACTCATTCGGGGGGATTACACACACCAAAGGGGGCTTGGCAGTAGGACCAGCGCGAAATTAAAAAAAGGGATCAGCAAGAGAAGGGCGGGCAATTTGAGGTGAAGTCTATCTATACTCACAATTTTGTATGCCGCTATTTCTGCACCCGCTGTGAAAGCACATGTGTTGTGCATTCTCCACCCATCCCTCTTTTTGAGGAAAAAGAATCAACATATGTCTTGCCAGCCATGGAAGGAGGTAAAAACGAATAGGAAGAGATGATGTCACAATAGGGACCCCCTCTGTTGTTACACGAGCATATTTTGAGAAGTCTAACTGTTTATGCGCGGATGGGCAAAATAGCTACACAACGGCGACGAGGCCTTTCCTTCTGGTTACCTCTGTGGGTATCGACCTGAACGTGTGTTTTCTGCCTGGAATATCTCCCTACCCACCCCCACACACACACCCCAGGCTGAATTATCTCAGCGGTTACCAATACTTCTACTTTTTCACTCCCACCCCCCCTAGTTGACGAACTCGATGCCATCAAAGATTATCTGTCCGAACTTAACCGCTCAGCGCAGAGCTTACAAAATGCAAATTACCACCGCAGTGTGTTGAAGGCTACATCACGGAAGGAGCAGAATGAGAACAACCCCTTCCTCCGGTGCATACAAATGAGGAGAGACATGGAAGAGCAATTCAGGTGCATCGACCTTAGTAGCAACTCGAAGGACGGGGGGAGTGCCAGTACATCGGATGACCCCTCTCAGGGGGAAAGGCGAAGTAGAGGAGGCATCCCAACAGGAAGAGCACCTCAAGTAGGGCAGAGGAGAAAAAAACAAACAACCTCGCAACAGAAGAGAGGGGAAAAAAAAAAAGACATCCGCTTCTCACTTGAGAACAGAAGCAGTCCCGAGGGAAGGAACCAATGCGGGGAAGCCAACGGGTGTGCCGCCTCCCCTTACGGACGGGGAGACACACAGACGAGGCTCATTCCGTGTGGAGAGGCAAGGAAGCGGGAGGAGGGCGAACACGGCAAAATGGGGGGATGCGCCGTGCGCACAGACCAACGGAAGGAAACCAAAGCGGACAGGACGAAGCAGACGGAGCATACAGCCAACTTCTCAAACGACCGGGAAAGGGAACTCTTCCAGTACTTAATTGTAAAGGCAAATGACGAAATTGAAAATATCAGCCTGATCTTGGAGAAGAAATATGGAGAAGAACTGATGAGCAGAGTGGACAAGATAAAAGCATCGTACGAAAATAAAATAAAAAACTTGTCCAAGGCGAAGAGATGTCTTTGCGATGAGAAGGAACAGATGGTGAAGGAGGATAAGTACAACAAGGAGGTCATGAAAAAATTGGAAAAAAAAAATTCAGTGTTGCTACACCAGATGGAACAATTAAAAAAAAAACTTCCTCTTGTTTATGACGCAACATTGCAGAAGGAAGTGCCAAAATGGAATACTGAGCAAGTGGGAATGGGAACATTGAGAGATGGATTTTATCGAGAAGACCACCTAATTAGGGATTACGAAAAAAAGATAAACAAGCTAAATGAGCAGCTGAACCGAACGCATGGAGAGTGCTTAACTTTTAAAAGCAAGTGGGTAAGTTAATACACTGGCACCTCATTCTCCTTCTTCACATGTGAGTGAAATAAACACATGGGTGATTTGGATGTCGGTCCATCACATATATATATATGTGTGTTCGATTGTGTCCCTTTTTTTTTTTTTTTTTTCCCCTGCAGGAAGGACGTGAACGCCAGTTGCACCAGCAACAGGAGGAAGTGGTACGCACACCCGTCTGCACAAGTGCAGTGAGAGCACCTGTAAAGTTGCCCTTACACAAAATATAGAAGCAAGATTAAATGCCAAATCGTTTCATGTGTTCCTAACTCCCCCACACACATCTGTCCCCAAACCCGATGGACTAGAATGACCTACAGCGAGAAGTGCACAGATGCCTTACCTCCAAAAAGGAAGTGGAAGAAAAATGGGCCCACTTGAAAGGGGAAAATTTCAAGGTAGAACAGGAAAAAGTGCCCTTTGCGCAAGGTTGCACTTTCTGGGGCACTCCTCCACGTATTACGAGACAGTGTCAGTCTTTTTATTTGCCTTCTCCACGTCTTAGGAGACAGTGTCAATCTTTTTATTTGCCTTCTCCACGTATTACGAAACGATGTCACTCTTTTTATGTGGCTTCTCCACAATTTATACGTCCTCCCCCCCTCCTGTTCACGCCCAGATGGAAGCGGAGAATCACCGCCTGAGGGCCGAACTGAAGAAAGCCAAGTTGAGCGTCCAGCAGATGGAGGAAGACCATGCAGACGCGTAATAGGCTGCATCATCGGCAGGGCGATGAAGTTCAGGCGTGGGTGGCTCGAAAACATAAATTATGCGCGAAGTTTATTTTTTTTATTCTATGATTTTTTATTTTTTTATGTTTTCATTTTTTTCTGTCTTAGCTGCCAGAACAAGGATCACCTCCTCGCGTGGTACAAAACAGAGGAAAAGAAGCTGAAAGAAGATGTGCAAAGTTACAAAATGGTACAAATGTATCGGCCGGGCGACCGTCTACCGAAGCGATCACCTGCGGTCGTTACGCATCTGTGGACACATTTGTAGAGATCCACTTTCTTTTTTTTCTCTTTTTTAACAATATTAGAAGTGCGCAGTGCTGGAAAATATAAACCACGAGCAGCTATTCGAAAAGAAGTGCAAAATGCTGGAGTGAGAAAAAAAAAAAAAAAGAGACAAGATAAGGAAGAGAAGATGCCAAAATAGTGGACATCTCTTACAAGCGAATGTTCCTTGGTTCCACAGTGATGCGTTCTTTTTTTTTTTTGCCGACTAGAAGTTGTAACGATAAGATTACCACTCCGTTGTATCCCCTCCCCCCCGTAGAAACGCGCTAAAAGATGCAGAAAATGAGAAGAGCATTTGCGAAAGGATCTGCGAAAAGAACGAGTAAAAAGGATTCTCCAAAAATAAGAAAAAAAAATAAAAAAAAACGCCCTTATGCACCCACGTGGAGGAGTAAACAGACCCATTTGGTAGCTCACCTCACACCTCCTTTTTGAACCCCCGCCCCCCATCACCAACAATCGAAGAAAAATACAGAGAGACATGCGCATCGAAATAAAGACTCTAAAGAACGAACTGTACGAGTGCAGAAATAAAGCTTACAAAATTAGTAAATCTGGAGTTAACATCCCGCAGGGGGGGATATTCTATGGACACTCGAATGGGGTGGAGGCAAAAGGTACAGCACAGGGTTAGGTCTTGTTGGATTGCATGTAAAGGGGGTAAAAAAAAAAAAAAAAAAAAAAAGAGGACCCATTTACACCCTGTTTTGTAATTCTTTTTTTTTTTTAGGGGTAGCCTCTTCCGATGATGAAGCAATTAGCCGCGAAAGGGAATCACCACATGTAAGTACCTTCTGCATTTATGTAACGATCCTTTTTTTTTTTGCCACCACCATCCGTCCGCTGGGATGCATATGTACATAGCTTGTGCGGTACTGAGGGGGGTTACCTCCCATCGCTTGCATCAAGCGAAATGATTGCTCCACTTTCGATGCAGATGAGGGAAGACCAAATCGGAAAAGACGGACAGCTGTAGGGATGGAGACTCTTCAACCGGGACAGACGCCCTGCATAACGCAATTCGACATGGACGGGTTGTACCCCCATGAGACGGACCTTTAACCGCACTGAGGGGACTTCCCCCCCCAATCGGACGCAATAGGAAACTTCCCTTTAGTCGCGTTGCTGAGTGTCAATTATTCGCCATCCGTCAGGTATTACAAATATGGGGTCGTATCATTTTTTCGGATTTTTTTTTTTTTCCACCCCACAGCCCAGGAGAGCAGGAAACGACGGAAAGGATAAAATCCATAGAGAAGCAACTTACAGTAGGGAGAACCCTCCTTTAAATCCACACACCCATGTACTTGTCATTTGGGGAGCGTATATATTCCATTGTGCAATTCGGCTTCTGCCATTTGGCCGACCACCACCCACCATCATCACCTCTCACCATCCCTCTTCACAGTTGCTCCAACTGGAACGTAGTAACAAAGAGGTGGAACTAAAAAGGTGCCCAAAGCATGGTATGTATCTTAATCCAATCGGGACATTCTCATGTCATGGGGCGACTTCATCACAGTAGGACTTGTGTGTGCGAAATGGCCCTTTTTTGCATACTTCTCCTTTACAGGGGGAAAAACAGAAGAAGTACGAAGAAGGGAATGCCTCACCAAGAGGCTCCAATGCATCGACGAGAAAATAAACATGCTTGATGGGACATTAAAAATGATTCAAATGGTCACCGGCGATCACGTTACGTGATCAGAGGGGTCACTTAGCAGTGTGTATATGCAAAATGACCGTGTAGAGGTGGGACGGTCTAACCCGGTTAGGAGCCTCTTTCGTTAAAACAATTTTGTGTACCTAAAGAGGAGGGTAGTTTTCTTTGCCATCAATACGCCACAATATCCACGAAAAAAAGTTGTTAACATTTGACTTGTTAATTTTTTTTTTCCGTTTGTTGCGCGGGTGTTTTAACAGTGCTGTTGTGTGGATGTTTTTTGGTCGGCGTGGGTGCCCCTCACCTCATCCCAGGAAGTATTATGCCCTTACATATTTTATAAAGTATCTGTTTTGTGTCCATGCATTTCCACAAAAAGAAAAATCGTTTCATGGCTGTAATTTTTTTTCCACTTGTGCGAGATGGTCCCAAATGTACTTCCCGCGTTGGCTCTACATGTGGACTCTCCTTTTTTTTCCGTGATTGGGTGGTACCTAATTTGTGCGCGGCGGGGAGGCTCAATTGCGATGCCCCGCTCGAGCGAATATACATACGCATATGCATAGGTACATATATATGCGCATAGATATTCCTATGTAGTCTCACTTTTTTTTTTTTTTTTTTAAAACACCCTGAGAGGAAGAAAACACAGCGCGCCTGCCCTTTAGGTAGTTACGGCGTGTTCCTATTTTGCGTTTGATTTCCTTCGGTTGGTAATTTGTTCTTACTCATAGCTCAATTGCGTACCTCCAAGCAGAGGTGTTTACCCTCTGAGAATGAACCCCCCCCCAAGGAACTCGTATCATTCTAAGGGAGTTGCCATGACAGAAGGCTCGGGTGAGATATATACAGCACATTTAGGTGCATTTCCTGCGTGGGGAGATCACATGTGAAGCGAGGTTCCAGCTGAAGGGGCATTCGCAGGACCGAGTCAATCTGTATAGATTCGTTGCACTAGGTTAAAGTCATTCAGGTTTGCCTCGCCCAGATTGTCCTTTTTTCTTTTTTGTAGTGTCACACAAGTCGCATCTGCAGTGGTGGAGGGGGCACAACAAAAGGTGTTGACTGCTTGGTTAATGCTCCCTTCCAGCGCTGCTCCCTCTCTGGTGGCTGTTGGCCTGACCCGAGCACCATGGTGAGGGAGGCGCACGAGCTTCTGGACGGCAGCAGACCCATCCCCATCGATAAAATCACGTACGAGCTGTCCCAGAACATCATCCTGGCATTTGACAGCAACGAACTGGCCTCCAGCAAAGACACGCAGATAGAAGTGGAGACAAGAATAGGCCTCGTAATCGACAAAAATAAAAACAGGATAAGATTGCCAAGCAATACAGATGCCATCGTAGAAAGCAATTACTCAGATTTCTCCTCAGGGACCGATAAACATTCCTTTGAGTATCTGCTAAGTTATTTACACTCGCTGGGGGGGAAGACAAGGAAGAGATGGGGTGCCAGCTACGGACCATTTAGTAGCAGGGTGGATAACACAAAAATGGGAAAGGAGGACAGAGGGGGAGAATTAAATGACTTTGCCGATGGGAAGGTAGAAAATGGGAAGGGAAATCTCCCCCCTGGACAGGAAGAAGAGCAAACTCTTGAAAGGGAAAACTATATATATGAATTTTTCTCAACAAAGAAGGTCAGAAGTGTAGATAAATATTACATCCTTCCGAGTGATAACTCTCGAGTTCGCGTCACAACTTATTTGAATGACGAGTCGGGTGGAGAGAACGAAAGCCTGGCGAAGTCGCTATGCAAAAGGAATTTAAACACCTGGAATATCTACATGGGGAATAATAAGGAGTACTTTGACGAGATGGACGAAGAGGAGGATGAAGAGGACGAGGAGGACACCAAAGGGAAGAACAAAAAGAAGACTGACTATGGGGGGAGTGGAAGCGTAGGTAGAAGCGGAAGTGGAGGCGGACATGCGCGATCAGGTGACGACTCGGTAGACTATCGAATAGCAATTAACCTTGAGCAGACCAAACGAATAAGCAAATTATTTCTGTCCAAAATTTCGCCTGTACACGAAAGGGTAAAGGAAAGGACATCCTTCATAAATAAATTTTTGGGCATTCAACTGGACTTGACCAAAATTAAGACCAAGGATGATGGCGAACTGTACGAAATTGAAATTGAAATTCTCTCCAAAAGCATTTTAAAAGCTATGTCCAATTTACGAAACAAAAATGATTCAAATTATTTGCTTTTTATTTGTTCCAATTTGATAAATAATGCGCGCGGGATATGTAGGGAGCTATGCCATTTTAGGAAGAGGAAAACTTTGGGGAAAGAGCCCGGCTTGGATGGTGGGGGTGACAACGGTGTGCAAAGCAGTTATGTACACTCATCGAGGGAAAAAAGGAAATTTGAAAAATATGTGCACTCGGTGACCCCTATCATTGGAGATTACATGTACAGGGTTGTTGCCAAAAATGAAGAAAAAATTCACGCCCTGCTGCGCGAGGAGAGCGTGTCCAACAAGCGAAAAATCGAGGCTTTGCAGAAAATTATCGACATTCGACGCCACAATAAGAAGTCAGTGAAGAAGATCAGCGAGACCTATGCAGAGAATCGCTGGAGGGTTGTGCGCACCGAAGGGGCGCTGGGCGAGGTTGTCTTGGTCAGCGAGGATAGCGACGGGAGCGACGAAACGGAGGAACCGGGCGAAATGGGCCAACTTGGCGATGTCGACGACTCGGATGAGCGCGGCGCGGAGAATGTGGAGCCCACAGGATTCAACTTCGACAACAGCAGCGCGAGTGGCAGCGAAGGGGAGGGAGACAAAGGCGAAAAGGGCAACTCACAGCGCGATAGCAATAAGTATAAGAATTTCTACAGCGATACGTGATATATGGTCAGTCTGCATGGGGAAGGAAACACCGTTCCCCCCTTGTCATATCCTTTTTGCGGTCGTCAGGTAAACGCGCCCCGTGCAAGCATTTTGGCTTATGTGTGCATGTTGAATGGCGTTTTTTTTTTTTTGGATGGTCCTCCGCATTTGTATACACCTTCCCAATGGAGCGTCGCATTTGCTTTTCCAATTTTTTTAAAATTTCGCCTACGCGCTGTACAAGCGGGTGGCACTTGCTTTATTCGAACGTTTTTCCCTTTTTTTACGTAAACATTAAGAACGGTGAGAGTACCGCACACGGGGGAGTTAACCCGTTGCTGTGTTCTTACAAATGTGATTATCTTTTGGCGCTGCTGATTTGGAGGTGAAAAAAAAAGAAAAAAAATCACAAAAAAAGATATGCCGTGGGGACGCATCATGGTTGAAAATTCTCTTCTACGCGTAAGTGGGCGCACCGGAAAAAGTAGGACTACACAGAGAGGTGCGAAAAAAATAACCAGCTTTTTTTTACAAATGCAGAGAGGTCTGCCGCGCCCTTATATTTGCACGGGGTATCATCCCTGCCAATGTACGTTGTTTTTATTTCCCCGAAGGAGATGTACTTGTGCAAATAAATACATATGTACATTTATTGCTTCCCCCCTTGTGCGGACCTATGCGTAAGAGTAATTGGCATGTCGTATGCGCTGTAGGGGGGTGAAATTTGATGCATGACCGAATGCGTTTTGCTTTTTACCTACCGCGCGACATACGTCGGGTGTAGCCCATCACGCACGCCGGGTAGGCACAGCAACGGGTTGTTCGCGGTACGGGGAGGGGGGTTTCAAATGGCTTCTGCACCGCGGAACTGGTTGGTTGCACAGGGGGAAAAAATAAAAACAAACGACGCATACGCTTATGTTACATAAATGCAAAATATACATGACATTGATGTGAGGCGCACATTACCCCAACTCGCAGGGCGTGCAGAATGCGCATCCCTGTTTTGCGAGTGACCACGGGAGGACGCTTTTGACATGTAGGAGAAAGGAACGCTTAAAAAAAATGCACTTCTCTCTATTTTGCATAATTTTAGAAACGCGCAAAAGTAGCAACGAAAAAGTACGGCTGAAAAAAAAAAACTCAGCGACGAAGTAGTACATTTCGCAGCCATACATTCGTGACGTGAAAAAAACGAAACAACAAAACAATCACAGCAAAACCAGCACAGCAAAGCAAACACCTACCAAAAAATCGTTTGCAGAACTCAAAACAAGTAAAAGAAACACCCCATTGCCATCACGACGTAAAGTAAGCAGGAAAAACATACTCATCTCATTTTGCTAAGTTTTATAAGCGTATATATGCCGCTCCCCCATGGGCAGATTATTCGTACGAGCGACATGCCCACAAAATGATCGTCCCATCTTCCTACACTTTTTTCCTATACGTATAAAAACTTCTCCCCTTTTAAGGTACACAAAACGGATCCACCCATCTATATCCACCCAGCCTCTTCGTTCACATTTAAAGTTCATTTTATTTTAAGCCAAAATGAGTAGAAGCAAAGTTTTCTTCGATATTTCCATCGACAACAAAAGTGCTGGAAGAATTGTATTCGAGCTGTTCAGTGACATCACCCCTAGAACATGTGAAAATTTTAGGTCCCTATGTGCAGGCGATAAAGTAGGTTCCAAGGGAAAGAACCTACATTACAAGAATTCCATTTTCCATCGAATTATTCCTCAGTTTATGTGCCAAGGAGGAGACATAACAAATGGAAACGGATCTGGTGGAGAGTCCATATATGGAAGATCCTTCACTGATGAAAATTTTAAAATGAAGCATGACCAACCAGGCTTACTCTCTATGGCTAATGCAGGACCGAACACGAATTCGTCTCAGTTTTTTATCACCTTGGTTCCATGCCCCTGGTTAGATGGAAAGCATGTTGTTTTTGGAAAGGTCATCGAGGGCATGAACGTTGTCAGGGATATGGAAAAAGAAGGGGCTAATAGCGGATATGTCAAAAGACCCGTTGTTGTAACCAACTGTGGGGAGATGTAACGAAGGACGAAGCCAATCATCCAGTGAGGATTCGCATGTACATACTACGTACATATGCCCTAGGTGTGACGAGGGGGAGTCCGTTTCCATCGCGCGCCGAAACACCTCCTCGAGGAGGCATGCCCACTCGGTTTATTACAAACATGAGGGCATTCCCCTTACCCACATGAAGCTATATTGCAAAAGTGTTTATAACAATCGTGAAATTTTGAATATTTTATGGGCAATTTATACATAGTGCTTACTTCCCATTTGCGTAATTCCCCCCTGAAAGCATGCACAGAGCTAGCTATGAATGGGCATAGAGTGTACACACACATGTTATATTTACACACATATATTATATTCACACATACCTATATATATACATATATATCGTTTTATTACCCGTCGTTTTGTATGCTGTGCTTCTTTACCCGCACGCTTACAAAGCAAGGAGTCTTATGAAGATTGTCGGGTAACGTTTTATTATTCATTGAAAAGGTTTTTCTCGACACAACTTTTTTCCCCCATCGAGCATTTTTCATTCTTCAGTCATTGCTCATGTAGAACATCCATCCACCCATGCATGCCTGCATGCAAAGACACACAATCCAGCCATATTTAATGCCATGAATTAGCATTAAAAGGGAAACGCCCTATCCTGTAGAACTTCTTACATTGTTAAAAGGCGGTGAAAAATCTTCACTCGTGCCTGATAAAAGGTGTGACGTGCTAGGTGTTCGACCCGTTTGTATTTACCCCGGACCGTTATAAAAACCGCTTAACGGTAGCGTATGAATAGGGCAAATACGAACATATCGAAATTTATGCCCTAAACAATTTGCACATTTCGCATGTGAATGATTTTTATCCTTACCTGTGCCTCGTTATTCCCCGTATTCCCCCCCCTTTGTCAGCAAACTGGGGACATTTTTTTCTTCTGATTTGGCTGACTCGAAAAATTGCGCAATTTATACCTACATTGTGCAAGTGAAAGAAGAATCCCCCTCAATTCTGGAGCCTCCTAGTGAACCTGAACAAATGCGCACTTACAAAGTGGGTAAAGCGTGCATCCCCCTCTTTACGCATGGATAGACTTACCACTTATCTGTAGGTGAAAGAAGGGGGCATGGCGAAGTATATCTCTCTAAATATGTAGGCATACATACATTTGACAGTCCCACTCTACACACAGTTTTTTCTCACCCCCACCCCAAAAAAAAACCAGAACTGTGCATATTTTTTTTTCGAATTGGTCGTCGAAAAACCTGAATTGTTCATAATTTTTTTCCTTCCAAAGGGTTATTTTTCTGTGCTAGATATTTAAAAAAAAAAACATGCTGTGTGCAGAAAGACGAAATGGTGAAAAATGTACTTCCAGTTATGAAGTTAGTTGCATACTAAGCCGCTATTTTAGTCTCCTGTTTTGTACCCTTTATTAATATGCTACTTGAAATAAGCTTTATAAAAGAGCGATTTATTTTTTCCCTTCTTAAATGATGGATGGCCCCCCAATTGGGGTTACCCCCGTTAGGTATGCCGCAATGAACAATAGAGGATACGTCCTGTACACTTGGTTGTAATATAAAACAGGGGAAAACCCTTTAAACAGTCTAAGAGAATTTGCAAAAATGAAAAGAGAAACAAGGAAAAGGTAGTGTAAAAAGGAGGGACATGAGAAGATGTGTGAGCCAAACTGGGCACTCGTGTACAAACACACGTGGAATACTCTGTACATGAATCCGTATATACATATGTACAGCTTAACGCTGCGTAAAACTGAGTTTACAACTAATTGGGAATTAAAACAACGACAAAAACAATTTTTTCAAAATTATCAAAAAAGAAAAAAAAAAAAGAAGAGAAAAAAATACCCACATGAAGTGACAATTCATGGATTGGCATTACAAAATAGCAAAGGGAAAGTAATGTGGACGCACACAAAATGAGAAGAGGCGAGTTAGAGGAGGCGCGTGGTCCTTCTTTTGTCCATCACTTCACATGGCACTAATATCGTCATATGGGTTCGCCAGGTTTTTAAGATGCTTCTTTTCGGATATCGTGTAGGACACAATAATGACTGAGAGGATGATCTGTGGGGGAGAAAAAAAAAAAAAAAAACAATGAAACAATTGCAGCACACAACTCCGATGTTCGTGCTGCACTTACACAAATGAGGCAACCCCATTCGTGCACATCTTTTCGCCGTATTTTCCAAACCTTGAAAAGGAAAAGGCAAACCCAGATGGACAAGGCAAAGGAAAAGTGGGAGATGTTGTACAAATAGTTTAATCTGAAGGGGAGGGTAATTAAATTGTTACCAGGGAAGAGGGAGATGGTGTTACGTGTGTATATGTGGTCGCTCTATCGCCCCATCCATCGGGAATCTGGGTCCCACTTGGAGCCCCTTTCATGAAGCACTCACCTTGGGAGGGAACATACGATGAGAGTCACGACCGGCATGGACATGTAGCCAAGTCTGCGCGTGGGGATGTGCGCAAAGCAGAAAATGTTTTTGCACGGCACTTCGAAGGAGGAGGTGTTCATGTAGTAGATGTTGTTGTTGGGAGTTCTGGAAATTAGGACATCAGCCAGGAGAGTCTTCGGGTGACGCAAAGGAGGGGTGCACATGTGTAGGTAGCTTCGTGTGCACTCTATTTAGTAGACGCTCTTTAGTACACTCTCTTTAGTAGACGCTCTTTAGTACACTCTCTTTAGTGCACTCTCCTCTGTGCAGTGGTCTCGTCTCGGCTCTCCCTCGCCTTTACGTGGAAATATTTGTGGAGGGACTCCGAGTCCAATCTGTTGTACTTGAGCAAGTAGGAGTGTTTGCACCAGTCGACGCCGACCTCGAGGAGCAGAATAATTATGAGCCAGCTGGAAATGCTAAAAAAGGAATTCTGCGTTCTGTACGCAGTGGACATCTTTAGCAAAACGAGGAAGGCATCGATGAAGAGGTAGAAGCGCTCGACTGCATCTGAAGCCACAATTGTGAACAGGGTAGTCTTGGAGAATTTTTTGAAGACTGTTGACTTGATTTCTGTGAAGTTACTCATCACTAGGATCAGGAACATGGTGGACTGGGGGGGAGGAAAGGGGCGCAGGGGCATATGTTACGCGTGTTCGATGATGTGGTGAAAATGTATTCGAACAGCCTGGGCATGTTGTGTGGTCCCATGTGGACAGACAGGAAGACACACATACATATACACACAAAGCGGTGTTCCCAAAGCAAGGGAAGCGAAAATTACCTCCGACGAATTGATCGCAATGTTCAGCGAGAGGAAGCGTATGAGGTGCGCAAAGGCGTGGGTTAAGATATAGGTAAGGACAAAAATGTACTGCACAATAAATTTGATGAGTATACTATAGAAGGGGTAGAAGATGGGGATTTTAAATTTCTTGTTCATTTGGTCGTCCTTGTTATTTTTGAGACAATCGATTTTGTTCTTTTCCTGTTCGTTCGGAGTGAGCAGATTCTGGTTTTGGTTCTGGTTTTGACTTTCGCTTTGGTTGTGTCTGGGGTTGGTGTCAATTTTATTTGTACACTTCTCCGCGTCTTGTGTGCCGTTGCCAATTGGGCAAATGCCTGTTGGTTTGTTCGTCGTTTGGTGATCATTCGGGAGTGCCTCACAGGGGTCTGGATGTTTCGGAGTTGCCGATTTGTTTTCCGGGCAGTGGTGCGCTTGGATGGAGGATCCCCCCGAGGTGGCTATAGTTGTGGTAGTCGTGGCTAGCGTGGCGGTCGTAGGCGAAGCTGCTGGGAAGGTAGCTTCATTCCTACTTTGCGGAGCCCCACCTGGGCTGTGTTCCGACATCCAGGGCATTTCCTCCGCCTCTCGTTCGTTCTCTTTACTCGTGTAGTGGTTCCTAACAATGTAGACATAGGATCGTAAGTTAATAATTCTGATGAACGTTCGAATCATGTTATCGATGAGGTCCTTCCCTAACGACCTGAGCAGTCGCTCCACAATTTCGAGCATATTGAGAACGACGTATAGTTTCATAAAAGGCTGGGCTCTTATGTAATGGTAAATCCTAGACGTGTCCACAAAGGAAAAAATGTAGATGCAGATAAGGATAAGAGACATTCGTATTAGTCCGCTGTATTCTGGGAAGGATAATTTGAGTGAGTTCAAATGTTGCCTGAGAAACTTTCTCTTCATTTCTTTAACTTTGGAAATATTTTTCATTATGCTCCTTCTCTTTGTGAATCCCTCATTAAGTTTGTAGTAGATGCAGTTTTCGCTGTTTCTCTTTTGGGTCATAAAAAGGGGGTTGAGTTGACCACTCTGGTTCTGTCCGTATGCATCACTTGGGTCGTTTTCCTCGTCGGGGTTACTGTGGCCATCCAGGAATAGCACCCCATCGAACACGTCGCATATGTTCGTGGAGTTGCTACTACACGAGAGGTCGCTTCCATCAGATGTGTAGACACTCTCGATAGAAAAATCACTGATTATGTCATCCCCGTTTTGTTGGAGACTAGTACCATTTTGGGAATAATTTTTCGTGCTGATTTGTCGGTTATTGATTGGAAGGCACAATGAGCTTTCCACCTTTGGGGGTTCCTCTTTCTTCTGCGTTAGATGGCTTGCCTCATTTGGGCTCTCCCCTTTGTGAACTTCTCCATTTTGTGCAGTCGCCTCTGGTTCGCCCTCCGTCTGGGTGGACGGTCCGGCAGTCCGATTGTCACAGGGTTGTTCCTTCGCTTCGCCATCCCCGCATAGCTGATTCCTCGCTTGATCAACAGCGGTTTCCCGTTCTTCTGTCTTTTCAGCGTCGATTTGGCGCTCCCCCTGCGGTTGGTCGCCTCCCTTTTTAACACTTCCCAGGCACTTCGCCTCAAACGACCGGGAGACAATCTTCTTTTTCTCCTCGGCTTCAAAAATGCTACACGAGTAGAGTCTGTTGATGTGAAAGAAGAGCAGCACTCTGATGCAGACGCGTTTGAACACGTCGTAAACACTCTTTGCTGAACTTTTTAAAAGATGGCATATTTTTCTTTTCGCAAATGAGAAGGGTTCGAAGAGGGGGAGACAGAAGAGGCGGTTTGTCTTTCTCCTTCGATGGGAATTTTGTTCTATCGATTTTTTATTAAGCATTTGTAGCATTTTCTTGTTATGCTTTATCTCGGCCCTCCTTTTTCGCCTCTCAAGATGGGCCTCCCTCCCATGGTCGACGTCTTCTTTCTTCACACCTGTAATGGAGTCGCCATTTCTGAGTGGCTTCCCATCCGCGTACTCGCCGGAGCTGCCGATTGGGAAGTCGACACAGCGAGTGTGGATCTCATTATAGTCATGCTTCTCATGCGTGTCGTGCTTCTCATAACTGTCACGGTTGACGTCCAGGTCCGCGCTGCTGCCCAGTCTGTTCAGACTTCTTAACCTACTCAGCACGGCATTCGTGTCGAAGGAAGTATTCTGCGAAATGCTTTTTGCTCCGTCGAAGCTCAGTTCATCTGAGTTGGAATAATTCACGCTGTAGGAAAAGCAGTTTATACGATGATGTCCAAAAAGGGAATTCTTCGATGAATTTTTTTTCAAAATGAAGGAACATTCGAGTGAGTTCTTGTTCTTCCCTGACTGATCATCACTTTCGATTTTTTTATTTTGTTTCGGCACTCTTCTTTTTCTTCTTTCATTTGAAGAAAATTTATTTGAACTTCTAATAATCCTCGCTTTGTATTTTTTTAAATCTTTATGATTGTACGTTGCTGCATATTTATAAAATTTGAAATTTTTTATATTACAGAAATGCCGAAGAAAATTATGACCTGTATTTCTGAGAAATGTGTACAGCAAAATGAAGAGAGAGCGAATGACTTGGACAGGCATAAACGTAATGTCGTAAAGGATGTTATCTAGACAGAGGAGGAAGGAGAAGCTCATGATTTTCTCCAGGAAGTATGGCACGTTTAACATGTGCTCCAATGCGTTCTCTGGGATCGAGTCCGTCTTAAAAAAGGTATCCAAAAATCTGTAAAAGTCGTACTGCCGGTCATCCTTTCGGGGGTTGTTTGCCTGACCCGTGTTGGATACCTTCGTTGCCCCTCTTACCGCGGCATTCCCTTCGCTTAAATTTTTCTTCCCCTTCCGTTCCGTCGCTCCTCCTGCCACGCTTTCCTCGCCGTTTTCACCATCAATCAGGTACGAGTCGTAGTACCTCCCCCCCCTTACTTCATCTAATATAAAGTCATACAGAGTTATCCTGTTCATACTTTTTTTACCATTTTAGTAATTTCGGATGTGAGCAGTGGGGCTGGGGTGGAGGGGAGTCTTCGGATTCCTTACCAGGAAAACACATAGGTATTTAAATATGTATGGATATGTATACGTATATGTATGCATATATACGTATTTAATTATATGGACACAAGTGCGCCTTTTTCAAAAGCAGCCCTGCTGGTAAGGATTAGTAGGGTGAATGTGCAGGCCCAACGAAGAGGCTCAAACGAGAGAGCAGCATTTGTGGCAACTAATAGGAGGCATGCCAAAGAGGAGAAAAAAAAAAAAAAACTACTCACAGTGTTGCAGGCTTACGTATGTATAGCACATGCAAAGACTGAATGACACGAAACCGTTTGCAGTGAAAATTTATCTGTTCACTTGCGTAGCTTCCGCATGTTTTTTCCCCTTGCTATTCCTTTCATTTCGTTTCTCATTTTTTTTTTCTTATATACCTTCATGGGAGCTAATTTCCCACACTTGGCACTTTGCAGTTTTATTTTATGAACCATATATTAATGTCGAAGTTAAGCATGCGGAACGTTCACGTCGGCTAGTACACGTCGTGTTCCTGCTGTGCGATCTTCCAGGGGATCCTTCTCGAGTTCATAGAATAAGGCGCAGCCGTTCCCAAGGGGGGAAATAGCAATGGGTCAGAACAGGTTCGTATATACTATTTTTCGCGTCACTTGAGCGGTTACTGATGAGTGCCACCACTGATCGCTTACCCTCGTAAATCAAGTATGAATGCAACGAAAGGGTCACCAGAAAAGGAGAGTTTCCTCCCTCCCTCGAACAGTGTTTATCCTTTACATTTTTGTAAAAACAACAAAAAAAAATATATTAATTTCTCCTAAATCTGCATGCTTGGCATGACGCGCTACAAAAAGGTGGTGGTGAGGGGGTTGAGGAAGGAAAGGAAATTGCCACAGGTTAGGGCCATCAGAGGGGGGTGTAATGGCAATAAACTGTATCACCTTCTTAACAGCTTTGACCCAGTTGTGTTTTTTTTTTAGTGCATTACAACGTGGATGCATTTGGGGGAGCCACTCTGTACCCCCGACGGAACCCTAAATGGGTGAATAGCGTTGTCTCGAAAGAAGAGTGTGGCAAAAATGCCCGGAGGAGATGTGGGATCTTCCCCCCTCCCCATTGTACGAACAACCTATGGAAAGGCAATCCTATACACATTCTAGTGTGTGCTTTGCTTCCCTTTTGTATGTGCCAACCCCATTGGGGGAACGCCACAACGGGGTCGATGTAAATGCGCTACCCCCCCGCAAGAGGCACACCCGTTACGATTTCTAATTCGCGTAAGACGTGCTTACTTCATACTTAAAGCAGTGCATGCGGTTGGTTCATCTTCAGGTGACAAAAAAAAAAAATAATAAAAAATGGGAAGAATAAGAAGGCGCGCAGAAAAGGCGAAATAAAAATGTGGAGTGGGTTAAAAAGGCTGAATAGGCTGGGCAATAAAAAGCTCAAGTCGTCACACGTGCATGTGCATCTGCGCGTGTACGTACGCGAGCGCGTTTGGGGCTAACCTGGGGCTGCAGATGTGGCTTCCTCCCAAAGAAAGGGAAGCACATTAGAGACAGGCTAGAACCACATCGGCGGCACGCAAGAAGCACATCAGATGCACGGTAGAACCACATCGCCTTGTACAGGACGCACACTTGAAACACAATAAAGCACAAATGAAGAAAACAAAAAGTGGGTCATCACTGGGTGATTTCGCGGCAACATGCAGAAAGACAGAGCCACGTATCATGAAACCCGCGCGCAATATTTCTGCGCGAAATGGGGGCATTCATTTTGTCACCCTTCCCCTTAAGAAGGCAAAGGCTCACTCTGCGTTGTGGGCAAATATGTGCGCGGCGAAATCAAACAGGCACAGACCGTTGACATGCAACGGCGTGTATGTGTGGACACGTGCAGAGGGGATTTGGGCATGAAAGGAAAGGGGTAAACAGAGGGGGATAAGAAGGGGGAAAAGATGGGGGGGAGAAAAAAAAAGAAGAAAGAAAACACACATACACTCACACACACCTTCGTCGGCACATACAAATCGGAAGAACCGCTTGAACTTCTCAAACTCGACAAATTATACTAAAAAGTGACACAAAGTTAGTGTAAAAATGAGGGAAACAAAAAAAGAGGGGTAACCAAAAATGGACTTCCTAACCAACTCGAAGGTAGGCATCAGCACAAATGGGAAACATAAAATGAAATTTCTCCTCCGAAAGGAAGAGGCGACGTTATGTGTAATGGTTACTTTAGACACGCCTGCACACTTGGTGGGACGGGTCAGATAATGTCCCGGTTCGTATTTGACGACCTGGTGTTGTATCGGCTTTTAGAACGGTTGGAGGAGTTGTTCCTGAGGTGCCTCCTGCTCCTGGTGCCGCTGATAAGGAAGTCATCCCCCTGACTGTTGAGCAGGTCATCATCATCTCCATTGTTGATGCTTCCTCCCCCAGGGTTGTTCTCCTGTCTGGTAATCTCTTTATTTCGTAAACGATCGCTTTTCCTGACATTGACGTGGACGACCGCATCGCAGTTGTAATTCTTCTTCTGATTGTTTTTTTTATTCCTTGCTGAAGTCCTCCTTGGAGTGTTGTTATTGTTGCGTCTCGTGGTCCTACGTCTAGTAGTGGTGCTTCTCTTGGGAGCGCTCGTACGACCCCTCCGTCTATTCCTCCTACTGTTCCTTCTGGAATTGGAACTCGATGCGTGATTATAACCAAAGTCATAATCATCATGAGCATAATCATCATCATCGTATTCATCATCGTCTTCTTCATCCTCTGAGAAGAAGTTTGCTGATTGATCACTAGTAAAAACTGAGGAATGCTCACTTATGACAGCAATGTCGGTGTTCCTTCCGGAGCTTAGAACGTTTTCATAGTTCAATAGAAAGTTCGTAACGTTGATGGCGCTGTTCGCATTGGTGACGCTCGCAATGCTGGCAGCGTTGGCTATATTAGCAGCGTTGGCTATATTAGCAGCGTTGGCCATATTAGCAGCATTGGCCATATTAGCCGCGTTAACCACATTGGAAGCGTTGCGTGCAGTAACTCCACTGCCTGCATTGTTCACCTGCGTGTTACCTCTAAACATTGCAAATAACTCATTGTACCTTGCATAACTGGAGAGTAGCGAATTCTGAACTGTCCTTGAGCCCAGAAAATCATAATTGGCAGTGGACCTCAGATAAAGGGAGTATGGGTTCAGGAAGCTACAGTTGTTGATCCCATCGATACTTTTAATTATACAGTTTCTTCCTTTGAGCTGACAATTATTCATTAGGTTGAAACTTTCTCTAATTAAGGTCTTGCAGTAGTTCTCTTCTAAAACGTTTAGCAATTTCATCGTGTGTGAATTCATAAAGAGCATTCGGTTGTTGTTTGTATAAATGAAGTGTCTATGGTCGAGCTGTCTCCTTTTTTTGTCCACATTGGTGTAGTGCTTTAAGTAACACTGAAGAACTGCTTTGATGCTTCTCTCTGCGTAGGTCTTTTTTTTATAATAAATAAAAGTATCAATATCTTCTTCTTCTCTACAAGGGAATTTTTTCAAAATTTGGTACAGCAGCGACTGGCTCATTTCCTTCATTTGATGTCGGAAGGGGTTTCTCTCGAGGACCCTTTTCTTCCCTTCTCTGGTAGTGGGGCTCACCACGCTGCTACTGTCACAGATTGAGCTTACACTTATAAATCGTTTGTACGATCGTCCTACTCGCACGGCGTTCACATAACACATCTTGTACTTGTCCGCACCACCGCTCTTCCGCTTGAACGTTTCTATGCACCGGGTCAGCGCTGCGCCTAGGGGGTTCTTCTTCCCCGGGGGGTCTCTGTTCGGCTCGGAGGGGGGCTCCTCCCCGTTCTTTCGGCCGCCCACTCTACCGCCAACTCCACCGCTGAATCCGCCGTCGAATCCGCCGCTAACTCCACCTCGCGCGCAACCCCGCAGCAGCCGGAGGAAGGCCTCACTTTTCTCATTCTTCCTATGGGCGGGCATCCTGAGCAAGGGCTCCTCGTCCCCCCTGTTATTCACCACCTGGAAGTGGTGCCTACCGATGGCAGCATGGTGGCTGAGGAGTTGGCTCATATCGACTCCGCAATGGTGTGCATCACTAACTGAGCTGCTTCTATACTCTCTCCTCTCCTCTGCGGGGGAACTACCGGGTCCTTCGCTCGCCCCTCTGTGGTTGAACCATTTCTTATCATCCCATGTGGGGCTGGCACTGCACGCGCTGTGATCACCGCGCTTCATAGAACCGCCACTTCCTCCATAATTTATCAACGCTTTGTATAGAACGTCAAAGGTCAGGAGTGACTTTAGATTTATGGTATTCTCCTTCTTCATCCTCCGGCACATTTGGGAAAGGTAGTTCAGCTGGATACATATGGGGTCCACCGGGGAGCTTCCAATCTTGTCCAAGTAGCTTTTATTGCAATTGAAGCTAGAAAATTTTGGAAGCACCGGTTGAAGGTGCTGCTCGTAGATCTTAAATTTCTTGTCTACCAGAATGTTCGCATTGGTGAAGTTTAGCAGGCATGGGTTGTTTCCTTCCTTGCGCAGTTTGCTCCTTCGGCGGTCACCTGTGGGGGGTTCGCCATACCAACCGTCGTCATCATCGCTTTCATCATCACCATCGTAATGGTCCTCCTCGCCGCTACCACTGGCGCCCCGCTTCTCTGACCACATGCCGCTTGAACCATGTGGCTTCGACCTTCCCTTCCGAGACGCAGCATTGAGTCGATCATCTGGGTTGCCTCCCCTACGCACATCCTTTAGGTGTCCATGTTGGTCCGATTCGAATGCCCTGTGGTTCCTACTCTGGAGCGAATCCATCCTGCGCCCTTTAGGTGAGTCGCTAAACAGATCATCAGAATAATTGGCATAATTTGAATTGTCACTAAAAAAATTGATGGAACTACATTTTTCCAAATCGGTGTCCCAATCACTCATGTATCGATCCCTTTTCACGACCTCTTCTTTTTCCTTCCGTTTGTCCCCAGTGAAGAACTCTTTTAATTTGCTAATGCTGATGTCGTAGGGGTACTGTGCTCCTTCCCTTGTGTGTGAACCTCCACTTAACAGGCACTCATCGTGTTTATAGCTTTTAGATTTAAAATCTGAGGATGGCACATTTATGTTTCGCTTTCTCATTGGTAGGAAGCGGTTCTTCCTAGCAAGATAGGTGTGTTCCCCATTGGAGCTTCCTCCCCTTGAAACAGCACCCCTTTCGCTGTCGCTTCCACTGGAGTGATCATTTGAGTGACCGCTTAAATTTTGTGCCTCTTTATCTTTTGCTATATGAAGCCTCTTTCGCTTAGGGGCATCTTCCGTGCTGGCTGCACTTGACCTGGTTCCCACATCCAGCGCCGTGGGTCCGTTTCTTGCCGTCCTTTTACTCCTAAAGCCGTAGGAGTGGTTATCACTGAGGACGCTATCAAGGTTAATCACTTCTTTCTTTCGTTTAGCACTATTCTTAATGCACTCTCGGTGCACATCTTCAACATTGATAACTTCGTTGTTGTTTGAGGGGGTGTTCTCCAAGTTTATAACGTGTTTGTCTTCCCTGCCCTGGAAGCTGTCTTTGTCGATGATTCTCACTTCGTCATTGGGGTTTCTATCACTCCCGTCATCGGAAGCGCCTTTGTTTTTTTTTTTTGTTTTTTTTTTTTTTTTAGAATCCCCCGCTTCTCCTCGGCCCTGCACCGAAATTTTGGAGTTCTTCGAGTTGCTGTCCGTGTAGAGCGTGTAAATGGAGTTGACCGAGCAGGAGAGCTCCGAGCTGTCCTCTATAATTCGGTTTCTTCGCCGGGCGACTCTTCTCCCTTTTCTTCTGTCCTCGTCGTTGCGCTTTCTTCCACGACGTGAAGAGGCGCCGTTTCTGGCATCGGTTCCATTCCTCCCACTCGTTCCATTCCTCACGGTCGCTCCATTCCTCCCAGCGGTACCAATGATGGTGGCTCCGCTCCAATTGTTGGCGAAGCTTCCACCCACTCCTGCGACTTCCACACCGGTGTTAAAACTAGATGAATTGTTTAGCCCGTCCCCGAAAAGGAACCCCCTGGGAGCAGTTACACCTCCTCCTCCTCCGGAAGCAACACCACTGGTAAATCTCACAACATCCACCGCGTCCTCCGCATTATTTCCCTCAAAAGAATCATACATAAAAACGTCTGGAAGAGAATTCATATTATCATAATTGTCCGTCACCTCGTTCATGCTAGGTTCATTCAGCGAGCAAAGCTGATAAGAAGTGACTTGATCAGATAGGGTCAATTTGTAGGAGGCATTTCTATTCAGTGTGAAAATAGAGAAGTACCCATAATTGTGTGAGACGATGAAGAGGTAGCCATTTTGACTCCACTCTGCACTTAGGTTTTTCAACTCACTATCGTAAGAATACTTTTTTATGATCTTCTTCTTCTGTACATTCAACAAATAAATGTATTTTCTAAAACAGGCGAAGAGAATTATATCTGTGAAGAAGGGGTTGGGCTTGATAAAACTGACATAGCTGTTGCATTTTTTTAGATCGAAGTTCTTAATTTCTTCGTAGGTCCTTAGACAGAATATGGAGAGGTTCGTCTTCATCGTCACTGCAAAGGTGTCTTCCTTAGACGAGTTCGATTTGTTCGTTATTCCGTCAGCCACGATTAGGTATTCATCGGACATATTAAAGGAGACGTTGCTAATTTTGTAGTTTAACTTTTTAGCTCTCATTTTGGGCTTGTTGTTTGCCTTCTCGTTGTACACGCACTGTGCGCCGCTCTTTTCGGTCGCCTCGTTGGTGTGGAGGCGGTTAACGGGGAGGCGGCTCGCTGTGAGGCCACTCTCTATGAAGCGGTTTATTTCCAGACTGCCTGTTCCCAGACGGTTAGACACAAGCCGATTCGGGTCAAGTCTATTATTTCCATTTGTGCTCCTCCTCCCACTGGCGCTGCCGCCGCTGTAGACGATGCTCTCCATGATGACGCTGTCGTTGTTCGCTTCCCCCGGGTCCACGCCGATTGTGCTGCTGGCAGCACGGACTGTGCCGCTGGACCCAACGACTGGCTCATTGGATGCTCTCGACTTGTCCTGCTGATCGGGGACCCTCCTCCCCATTGGTGCACTCCCATCAGGGTTCACCTCCCGCTGCGCCCTAAGGAGCCGCTTCCTCTTCAGTTCCTTCTCCCTATTCACCCTTGGCACGTATTCCTTCCCGCTGGAGGAGTAGCAGTACGACGAACAGGACGTAGAAGATATAACAAACAGATTGTCGTACTGATTTTCGTCATTCACGTCGTTCGTGGCATTGTTGTTTTCGTTACTCTTCGGATCTCTCCTATCGCCTGGCTTCCGTCCATCGTCGCCCCTGGCCTGGAAGCCTCCCAGGTCGGTTCTCCCCCCCTTGGCCTTGTTGCTCTCGTTGAGGGCCAGGGACTCGAGGAAAAATTCGACGTAGAGGGAGGTGTAGAAGCAGCAGACGTTGACTTTGCGACGTGCAGCACTGTGAAGGGTTCTACTGTCAAGAGTTTTACTGTCAAGAATTCTACTGTGAAGAGTTATACAGTGGGAAGAGCTTCTCTCCCCCCTGGAGCGCGCCACCTCGTCGACGTAACTCTGGAAGTGCCATAGAAATATAGAACCGCTGAACTGCACAGTGAGGAAGTCGGCAGAGCGGTTTGCGAAAGCGAAGCGAACAATTTCTTCGTTAAAATCTTCGAACCGTTTGAAGAGAGAAAAACCGATATCCTTCTTGGCATTATCTTGCAAAATGTTGATCTCGAAACAGTGGAAGATTTTCGCGTAAGAAAGATCTTCCTCACTCATTTTCTGTTTTTTCTTATCTCCTTTGTAAGACAACTCGATGACGTCATCCGTGTGAGCATTTCCATACTTACTCTCGTCAATCTTGTTAACATATTTGATGATGTCCACATCGTTTGGAGTGATGCTGAGCAAGTCATCACTTCGTTCTTCATCATCGTAGAAAGGTTTGGACGTAAGGAGCAAAAACATGAGTTTTTTTTTCCTCCTTTTATAGTTGGTGATGTTGGAAAAATCGTTCTTCTCCCCAGATTTATCGATGCATTGGCTAGACGTGTTGATAAAGATGAGGTAGCCATTCTTTAATCCTCTGATGGGTCCATTCGACATGACCAGAGAGTTGTACATATAGGGGGACACATTATAACTTAGTGAGTAAGAAAATTGAATGTAGGGGAAAAATTTGACACCTCCGAGGTTCATATCCAGGGAGTATAACAAATGGGAATCATTACTGAGATCATCAAAGATGATGATGAAGAAGTAGGAGTTAGTGGAGCAAATGGCATACGTTTTATAAGTACCATCTGCATTGTGCTTGTTCCCCTTTTGATGATAAAAGAACTGCACCTTGTTCATTAGGAAGGTTCGTCTATACGTAAAGAGCGTTTTAAATTTGTGCTTATCGATCAGCCAGAATTTAACGACCCCCTTTTCATCACACGAGAGTATATACTTGTCAGAACGGTGGACATCAAAATCGGTGATGGCATTCCGATGTGCCTTAATGCAGAGGATTAAATTGCCGGTTATGACATGGAAGATCTTTATGTACCCATCCTTTCCACACGTTACGACATTCTCGCAGTTGTTATTGAACTTCATTTTCGTTATGAATTTGAAGTCCTTCTTATTTGGGATGAAATGAGAAAGTAAGGTTATATTCCTCTTGATATTCTTCACACAATAATTGTATACATCAAACATGTACCTTGTATTTATTATGTGATTCCTGAGTTTGGTATTCTTCGTGATGTAATAGAGTTCCTGCTTTATTTTCGTATAAATGTTGGTGCACCTGTTAGGCTCATAGCTAGTTATTTGTATTGACTTCCTTTTGTTGCTTTCATATTCTTCTTTGAGTCTGTCTTGGCTGCTGAAGAAGAACTCCTTTATGTTATGCTCCGGGTACTTACACGTGAGCATGTTTATCGCCCCTTTGAAGATGTTGTACATGTCCGATTCGATCTTCTCCCTCGTGGTGGCTCTGGCCAGGGGGGCTACTCCTCCTGCGCTTCGATTCCGATTGGTGCCTTTCATTTTGCTCATACGTCTCTCCATCCCCGTTTTGAGCTTGTTGTTGGGGAAGCGCGCTACGTCCTCGTCGTCCCTTGACGCAGTGAGAGTCTGTCTTCCTCCATCTCCTTTGCCTCGTTCGCCTCCCCCATGTGTACCATCACCGAACAATCCAACATCTTGGATACCCGACTGGACAGATTTGACATCCTTCTGCACTTTTCCCCTTCCGTTGTGCACCCCGGCTGATGCGCCACGCGTGGATCTGCCATCCTCCTCTTCGTCATCACTCCAGTAGTTTTCGTCCCCCTTTGCGGCACTTCTCCCGCTCCTGCTTTTAATGGAGTTGCTGCTCCGTTTGTTCCTTCTGCTATTTACTTGGTATGGGGGCACTCCTTTACCCCTCTCGACACATTCAGAGTCGTCCCAACGTTTCCCATGACTAGGAGGTGACGCTCGTGACCAACTGGAGGAGGTGCTCCCACGGGGAAGCTCTCCCTTCCTCCTTTTAAATTCGTTGCCTCTGATTTTTTCATCGTCAAATATGAGGTCCTTGTTTTTAAGAACCCTATACACATCGTCTAGATCTCCTCGATTGGCACTCTTCTTAATTTCGTTCAGGCAAATGTTGATGAGAACCTTGTACGTGTCACTGACGTGGTTGCGTGTGGTGGTGGATTCAGGGGTGCCTCCTCTGTTTGCCTTCCCCAGCTGTTTTCCCCTTACCATGTCCGCTTCCTCCTCAAGCGTGTGTGCGTTATTGGGGTAACCATTTTGGTAATCAATGGGGTGGTGACTCCCCGGTGTGGTGCCTTTCATTTTAGTGTTCACCCAAGTGGTGCTTTTCATTTTACTGCTCACCGAAGGGGTAGTTTCCATTTTTCTCTTCACCACATTGTTGCACGGGTCTGTGTGATTCCCCTGAAAGAACCCTTCAATTTCGACGCTTCCATTGGAGGGGCTTCTCCCCTTGTTGTTGCCATTTTTACGTAGACACCTCCCACTGCGGGTGTCGTCCGGAGCTTGGCACAGCGTTGCAGAGGCCCAGAAGTCTTCCCCATCACTTAATTTCTGCCTTTTAGCATTCATACTTGTCACTGGATTGGTTTTATCTCTGTGTTCACTCCGCGAATCCATGTTTTCCTCTTTTCGCAGAACGTCGAATGAAGAGTCTGTAAAAGGCATGGTTGGCTCGCCAGTGTCCGAGCATGTATGCCTCTGCTGGGGGATCAATTTCTTAGCACAATTTTGTTCCTTCCCGTTAGTGACATAGCCTGCGTCTGGTTTTTCCACACTTTGTTAGGAGGTTCTTAATTGGCCTTTCTGTCCTATGCTTTGTTGCTACGTCCTTCCTTTCTTCTTTTTTGTTTTTTTTTTTTTTCTTTTCGCAGATTTCTGACACGTGCGCTGCATGCCTCGCTGTCGTTTTCATCATTAACAGACGCAAAACTCGCAGGCGTGTCATCGGTTCGTCTCGCCCAATTCAGCGACCTCCTCATTCGTCATAAGATGCAGTTACGCACAGGGAAATATGCATATGCATGTAGGTACGCAAAGGTGCAGGTAAGCGAACGTGCAGGTAAGCGAACGTGCAGGTACCTGCTCATGCTTATGGGGTTCTATTTGTTACAACATTTCTCGGACTGTGCGGTGAATGCTATTTCTTATCCACGTGGTCATTTATTTTTGTTCACGATATATTGGTGTAGCTATTTGGCAGACGGCTCGTCAAATATGGTACTGCGCGTTCTGATGGTGGCTGACGCTTCTGGGTAGTGTTCCCGTGCTGCCATGGTTCCCCCTCACGCGACCCGTGCCTCAGCGTGCAGTCGTGCGGTCGTATGATCGCCCGATCGTCCGATTTTGCGAATACATAATGATATGGACGTCAGCATGCACCACCACGCCTGTACGTAGCGCGCAAAGGTCGCTTCGAACGTATGCTTACATGCGCGAGGCGCACGTACTTATTTACTCCCCCTTTTTTTTTTTTTTTTTTGCATATGCCGCACGAGGCCATCCCGAAATGTAGGCGAAATGGTAACCTCGCGCAGTTGTACGCAAATGAATGTTCACATGTTTATCTTCCCATCAAAGGGGGGTCATGGAAATTCCTTCAACGAAAATTAAAGTACTTTTGTCATACTTCTTTCGTCCATT